ACTTAATATGAAATATTTTTCAACAGTGTATACTAATGAAGCTCAATGAAATTCCCATGTTTCATATTTTTACTAATATAGCATTTGTTCTTAGTTTTGTTCAGATGAATTTCAGATCTTGGTATAGCCAACATTGCCCGTTGTGATACTGGCAGCTCTTAATTGAAGCTAGGGTTTCATTAGTAATGGTTTCACATGATTACAAACAGTTTTATAAAAATAAATTTTAAAAGAATCCTTGGAGGGGTAGGGACAGCATGGTTAAGAGGGAAGGTGAGTATAAGCAAAGTACCGTATTTATATGTATGAAAGTTAATCAAACTCATTATATTTGATATTAAACATAATAAGTATAGAATTTCCTCAACCTATTTCATAAGATAAGATATTCCAGAATTCATTGAAAATTAATATCATACAAAATTACTTTGTGTTTGTATATTAAAATATACAAGGTTTTTCATCTATATGATTTTCCATGGAAGGACATAAATGTCTTGTGGGATGGGTTGTGTTCTCTTAGGGGTTGTTATGTCATGCTTTAAGATATCTGGCACTTTGGACTTTCTTCTCAGTATTAAAACTATTAACCCAATGGCCAAAACACCGTCGTCATTTTCTGAGGTGCCCTGAGAATTACTGAATATGTGCTTGGTTTTTCATTTCTTCTACTCCATCCTTTTTAGCCTCCTTCTCATCCTTCAAGACTGTACATTTTTTCCAGAATATTTTCCTAAGCCCCTGGTTTTGGCATAGGTACTCCCTCCTCCTTCCCATGCCACCTGACACAGCTCATTGTGGTTGTCAGTAGACATTGCAGGGTTAATAAGAGGTACAGACCAGACAGTGTGGGAAGCAACTAGTAAGTGACTGACAGTGCCTGCCTTGACAGCAGGCTTGACATTAGAATCTGAAAGATGAGAGAGAGAGAGAGAGAGAGAGAGAGAGAGAGAGAGAGAGAGAGAATGAGAATAAACAAAAACATACAGGCCTTAGTTTCTATCTATCTATCTATCTATCTATCTATCTATCTATCTATCTATCTATCTATCTATCTATCTATCTATCATCTTTACTTACTTAGGTGGCTGTCCTGGAATTCACTCTGTAGACCAGGCTGGCCTTAAATTTACAGAGATCTGCCTGTCTGTACCTCTCGAGTGCTAGGATTATAGGTGTGCGCCACCATCACCGGAACTTTAGTTTTTATTTTAATGTGTTTGTATGTACATGCCTGTCACAGTGTGCATATGGAGTGCAGAGGACAATTTTGTGAAGTTGGTTCTTCCCTTCCACTTTTACATGGATTCTGGAATCAAATTCAGGTTATCAGGCTTCTGCAGCAAGCACTGGATCATCTCACTGGCCAAAGTATGTTTTGTTTACTAGCAACATGTGACTGTTAACTGCACGTACACCTTTTTTCACTGCCTTTGTATCTTTCTCCGCTGAGAAGGCTCGTTCCTCCTTCCTTCTGAAAGCCAGGAGTTAGAATGACTGCATGTGACTGACTGATGCTACAGGGAGACATTAACATAGGCATTTAGTTAAAGGAGAAGTGATGTCAGCTTCCGGTTTCTGGATGGCATGCCCCCTGTTTCATACACCTATAGTTTAAATAGAAGGAACTAAGTCTGTCCTCCCTTAAAATACCCCAGCATTCTGCTTTTCTAGTGGACCATGTCCTGTTCTTTAGTAAAAATTTCAACCCAAATAATTATTTTACTTTCAGAATATTGCCCTCATTAGAAAAGTACATTACAGTACTTTCATAAGTCAAATTTTTATTACCTATAGTAAATCACTAAAAGCATTATGATAATATATTTCTAGATTGATTTTTCCCCCTGAGATCCAAATTATGGCTTTTTTAAATTTATTTTTTAAAAATTACTTTATATGTATAGGCGTTTTTGTCTACATGCATGTTTGTGCACCATATGCATGCCTGGTGCCTGTGGAGGTTGAAAGAAGGCATCAGTTCCCCTAGGACTGAAGTTACAGACAGCTGTGAGCCACACACGGGTCCTGGAAATTAAACCTAGGTCTTCTGGAAGAGCAACCGTTGCTCTTAACCACTGAGTTATCTCATAGCCATGTCTTAAAAAAATAATTATTAAATGCATATTCCACCACACTTATAGAGCGGTCACAGGACAACTGCTTTAGGGAGTCGATTCTCTCCTTTCAGAACAGTTTAAGGTAGGATCTCCCTTACGGCTCTGCCTTACTGTGTATACCAGGCAATTATATTGTCCATGGAAATCTTGCCACAGGAGTACTGGGATTACAAATGGCTATCTAGCCTTTTACCTAAGTTTCAGGAATTTGAGTTTATGTTAATGTGTCTATAAAGCAAGCACTTTTACCTGCTGAGCCATCTGGTCCCTGGATCTGTTTCTTAAGCAATAACCAAAATTTTCTGAAAACCAGGTGCCAGAATATTTATATCTAATGTAATTATAATTAAATTATAATTAATGTCTAGAATTTTATTTTACCAAATCATACCTTTTGTGAATGGCATGAGGCAAATTTCATTTTTTAAAACTTGAAATGCAAGGCTAACAAGATGGCTCAGTGACTAAAGGTACCTGTCACCAAGCTCTGTGACCTGGGTGTGACTCCCAGGACTCACATGGTAGAAGAAGAAAACTGAATTCTTGCAAGTAATCTGATCTTTATGCTATACACCAACACACACACACACACACACACACACACACACACACACACACACCATAGAACCCCCAAGATATATGTGCATGAAATAAATAAAATTGTAAAAAGAAATTAAACTTGAAGTGTGGTTACATGAATATTGATATTCCACTATTTGGGGATCTTTTTTGAAAAGTAACCTTTGTAAGATAAATTGAGATAAGCTTTCCAGAAATGACTTTCTTGTGCTGGAAAGATGGCTAAGGGGGTAAAAAGCACTTCTTGCGTAGATATGAGGACTAGAGTTTGGATCCCCAGAACCCACATAAATGCCAAATGGGTGTGGTAGGTCCCAGCCACTGGAGACAAAGACAGGATTCCATGAAAAAGCTAGCTAGCTAGACTGGTGAAATCAATGAGTGAATGAGAACAGTGGAAGTTATAGCTGACATTTAAAATTTTTGCTTTTTAGACTTTATTCTTTTGTTTTCTCTCTAGTCTTGTCTGAACAGTAGCCTTAACTAAATTTGAATTTTCAGAAACTTCTCCCAGGGCTGGAGAAATGGCTCAGAGGTTAAGAACACTGGCTGCTCTTCCAGAGGTCCTGAGTTCAGTTCCCAGCAGCCACATGGTGGCGCACAGAAACTTCTCCCTACCTACTATTTTATGGATGAGATAACTAGTCTTTATCTTTGGCAAGACTGTAGCAGCCTAGGAATAATTCTCTGTTCTTAATGTTTGAGCTTTTTAGTGGTGATCATGAGGAATCCCCTTTAGCACACACTAGTGGTTTCTTTCTTTTGTTGTTTTGGGGGAATGGACGAAAGGGGTCATTTTTATAGATTCATCTTGAACTAAAATGGAGTTTAGCAGTACAAGCAAGTATTATGTAACAGACTCAATGTAGTATAGATCTGAGCTAAGTTTAAGTTAGCGTCTTGAAGTAATATGCTATATCATCTATATAGACTTGAGAAAGTGTCTACAGGTCTTGTACCTATTCATTGGACTTTATTTCCAAATTTCTTGGCAGAATAATTTAAATACAGTTAGATTTATAAAATGTAATAGTATGGAACATTTTTTGGTACAGTACCTCCTCCTTTCAGTAGTGAAAGTAATTACATGGCATTAATACTAATTCACATTTATTAAGGGACAGGCAAGTCCAATGATATGCATACTAAACAGTCTCAGTTTAAGGATAAATATAATATAGTTACATATGCTTGCATTATAATGTGATATTTATCACGTGGATCAGTTGTTAGGAGGGATGTACTGCTCTTCCAGAGCCTGAGTTGTTGCCCAGTACATACAGCAGGTTGCTCACACCTGCCTGCAACTCCAGCCCCAGGGTATCCAACAAATCTGGCCCTCGTGGGCACCTGTACTCATGTGCACACACAGACACATAATTAAAAATAAAATGAAGCCAGGCAGTGGTGGCACACACCCTTAATCCCAGCACTCGGGAGGCAGAGGCAGGCAGATCTCTGTGAATTCGAGGCCAGCCTGGTCTACAGAGTGAGTTCCAGGACAGGCTCCATAGCTACTGAGAAACCTTGTCTTGAAAAACCAAAATAAATAAATAAGTAAATAAAATTAATCTTTTTTTTAAGTTACTAAGAAGGTATAAATAAATGACAGTTAAGGACCTTGTTATTTGTATCATTGCTGGGAACAATATATTAATTGAATAAGTTTAAATCAGCTCAAGGGAAATTCAGTGTTCATTTTCTATGAAAGTCCTTCACTGTGGAACACTGTCTTGTAATGAATGGGTTAATAAAATTTCAGTGAAAACAAAATAGCAGGCAAAATACATGGGGGTGTTTTTCCTCTTGGTGTGGCCATCATTGAAGTGATGAGAAATGGTTGCCAACTTTTTAAATATTTGTGTCCTAAATACAGTATACTGTTTAAATCTCTGTAAATCTCTTATGGATTATTAATAGGAAGAGCTATAGACGTCAGCCTTTGGCACAGTTTTATTTGTGCTCTGTGCACAGCACCCTTGGCCACTGCTTGTAAACAAGCCTGGCTCTGTGATCTTTGCATGCGTTACACAGAGCCAGAAATCAGCCATTCACCTGAAACACATCCGTGGCACAGACAGGCCTTTACCTCTTTCTCCTTTCTGTTGTTGACAGTGATGGTTTGGTTTTTTTTTTTTTTTAAATAACTTTTTTCTTAATGGACATATTTCACTTAGTTTACAAAAATAGATATGTGATTAATTATAGAGTCAAGACTTGCTCTGTTTTATTTAAGACACGTAAAGCCTCCACTGACTTCTCTTATTGCCTTTTTGTTTTCTCTCTCTCTTCCTGCTTAAGCACTCCTATCTGGACAGGGAAACCTCCCTTCTCCTGAGAGACATTGCAGGAAAACCTTCTCATTTGCTGACCAAGGTGATGTCACCGTTTCCCATGTGCATGTATTCCCTGCCTTGTAGACAGAATACGAGCTCTTGTTGGGATTGCGTTCTTGTATCTCTTATTAGTAGCACCACTGTCTTTAGTACAGGTTGCTTTTTCTCTTGCTAAAAGTTATTGTCTCCCTAACCTAATGACTGTTAATAATCAGAGCCAAAAATATGTTCAGTAATTTCCACTTGTTTCTAACTTCTACAGATGCCTAGTCTATCCTTCCAAATATGTTGTATTTCCTCTAGCTTAATTTTCTATTGCATTTCAAAGCCCTTTAACTTTTGCTATTAATTGTTTTATGCTACGAGTTTCTTTTGCAAGCTTTAATAGTTCTTACTTACATTATTACCTCTGGTTTAATTACAACATTTACTACTTACATAGATAGAATTTTGATTTATATTAACCTAGTCTTACCAGAAGAGAAGATCACAATTTGAATTTCTCAATTCTCTGCCCTCAGTTTGATTCAGTTCGTTGGATTTTACTGGGATACTATTTTACAACTTAAAATCTTTTATTAATTCTCATTATTAACTAGGTAACAGTAATCAAGGAGCTGAATGGGTTTTCTTTATCATTATCTTATTTAAATAGTACAACATTAAGTTCAAGACTACTAGACTTCTAGTTTCTGAAGAACAAACAGTGTAGAAGCTACTATATATGTTATTATATCTAAGAGTTTTTTCCCTTTCATTAATTCATAGCATAAACTTGGAGAGAAAGTAACTGACTAAAGTCAAAATTCCTCTAAGAAGCAGCTCAAAGAAAAAGGCTTTTTGACAGAATAAGAAGTGAGACCATTTCTTTCCCCCAAACTTCCTTTCGAAAAACAAATCCAGAATCAGAGCAGTGAAGAAATCTAAGCAGGTTTTGTCCATGTACTTTCTAACCCGAGTCTACCCTCATGGCTTAACTAGGATCTGTTTTAGAAGAGAGTGCTAGATCTTGCCCTGTGCACTGTCTCTATGTCATTTCCAGATAGCTGATAGCTGTTAGGGCTTCCAGGATATCAGCGTCCTGCAGAAAACCATCCGTCTTCGTCTGGAGCCCCACAACTCACTCCCACTCTTTAGTGATACAGGGTGAGCATTCTGATCACCTGTCACTGTACTTCTCACTTAGTGTCTCAAATCCAAAACGAGCGTGTTGTAATTCTCAGACTTTACCCATCTGCTCCATTCCCATTGCCTCCACTATAACAACCCCCAGCACTTCCCCGACCATTAGAATTGTCTCCAGCTTTGTCTCCATTTTTTTCTTAGACTATTCCCAGATTGAGTTTAACATTTTACCACTTCTCTTGCCTATTTGTCTAGTCCTCTTTATTGACCTTTGTACTATGAAGTACTAGTTAGTATACAACACTATAAAATGGACATGGTCCTTACTCTTAAGGTCTATTATGAAGATAAAGCATAAAGTTTCCAGGCCTTATGGTGCACACCTGTAATCTTAGCACTTGGAAGATAAAGGCAAGTGCATCAAGAGTTCGGGGTTGTCCTCAGCTATACATTAAATTTGAGGTCAGCCTGGGACTGTAGGAGATCCTGAATTGAGAGAGAGAGAGAACATTAATATAAATATATACACACATATGTCTATAGGCAAACACGCAAAAATACCTAAGTTATATTAAGTGCTGTGAAGGGAACAAGGAGTAGAGAATCCTGAGGAGAAGATAAACAGTCTGGTTCACTGATGGTGAGGCCAGAAAAAGCCCCTTTTAGAGGATGAAATTGAAGCTAAAGCCTAACAGCTGAAAAGAAAGGCATGATCCATATTGGTAGGCTGAGAAAACAAGGGTTTGTCATACCTGAGAAGCTACAGTCTGTATTGTTGAAAAGACCATAATAAAGTGGAGTTACAAGTGTTTTGCTTTGTGTTGAAAAGCACAAACAAGAACGAGATGATCAAGGCCTGCTAGGACATTAATATTTCTATAAATGCAGTGGGGAGCTACTGGGGGAAAGTAGTCATCCATTCAACTAGTATTGATTGAGTACCTTTTATGTGCCCATGTCTCTGGTCCTGGAAAATATGGGCAGTAAACAAGTTCTTCCCAACTTCACATCCCCATCTGGCAAGGAAACAGCCGTACAGACTAAAATATGAAAGGTTTCTACCTACAGTTGCTAACCAGATATACCACTGCATACTCAGGCATAGTACCCTGCTTGTACGGTAAGAAATTTGAGCAAGAATGTGATTCAGTAGTGTAGAATCCAAACACATAAGAATGGGCTTGGAATGGTGCCGTGGAAGAGGTGGTGTATAATCCTAAGCAACCCAGACCATGGAGCTCAGATGCACATTACTCTGACTATTGTCAGTGCCCTCTGTCAGAGCACCCTGCTCTTGTGAACTATGTGACCTTTTTATGGTGCTGGGTATTGAATCCGGAACCTTTTATATACCCTCCATTGATCTTTACTTTCAGCCCCAAGTATGTATACTGCTAACACACCAACCTATGGAATAATCTGGCTTTCTACCATAAAGCCTAGTACTCCAGTACCCAACCTCCAGAGTCTGTCAAAGTGTAAGAAAATTATGCTAGCAGTAACCATTGTTTTCTCTGCTTCAGAAATTCAGAAGCTAAAATGCCTTTACAGTGTGTCTTTAACAAGCTGTTTTATTTGTTGATACTCCAAAAGCTAAGGCTATAAACTGTTGAGGACAGTAGAAACTGAGATTATCATACAATTAATATATAGTTAAGCAATTAATAAATATGTGTATGATCTTAAGAAAGTAATCTTTATGAGTCTTATTTGGTACAGTGGCTATAATAATCATACAAGCTTTGTATTTTTGAATTTAAATTAGATATCATATACACCATGACTTTTGGTTCAGCAAGTTTTAGATAATTAATGTAAGTTGTCTTGATGACAGTTTAGTATAATTCCATGATTCTTCAGAGAAATACTGCAGTGAATATTAGATTACCACTTCAAGTTCTCTTTGAATTAATTTGTTACTTTTTAATTGTCAAGTCTTCCAGAGAAATTGTAAACTACTATTTATCCCCTTGATTTCATTGTTTGTTCTGAACCTGTAAAGTCTTATTTCTCAGTTGAAGTCATTCACTGTCCCTCTCTACACAACTGTAACTCTCTAAGTACTGATATTCTGATATTTACACCCCAGAGAATGCTACACTTTGTAGCCCAGCATTGATTTTCATTTAATCATAACATCTTTACCCAGTTTTTGTGCTGTATGCAAATTTGAGGAGGCTTGACATTTGATGGCTGTTGATTTACACAGTAGTTTTTCAGTAGAAAATGAGTTGTCTCTTGCTCTTTTAAGAGAAATAGAGAAAGTTGTTTTTGTATGAGTGAAGTATCCCTTACTATGTGTAGGGTAGTTGTGAGACAGTGTGAAGAAAGGACTAGTCAAAAAAATTGGGGCAGAAGACTGAAAATCTGAGCTGGTCAGCAGAAAACACATGGAGGAAGCTTTCTCCTTTGCATTAGGGAACACAGGCTAACACTGCCTTTATAAATAAACTACTGTAAATCTTCCAGGTATTATACTGATCTGTCTCTTTCAGAGAATATAAAATGATTTCCTTTAAGCCAGGCAGTAGTGGGGCACACCTTTAATCCCAGCACTCGGGAGGCAGAGGCAGGCGGATCTCTGTGAGTTTGAGGCCAGCCTGGTCTATGGAGTGAGTGCCAGGACAGACACCGAAGCTTCACAGAGAAGCCTATCTCAAAAAAAAAAAAAAAAAAGAAAAGAAAAGGAAAAAAAGAAAAAGGATGGTTTTCTTCTTCCACTATTGCTATGGTTAAAAAAATACGGTATGATTTAACAACTCACAGAGGAAGAGCATGGGGCCCAGAGGAAATGTGGGTCATGCTATTTGAGTGTTTTTATTTAGTTTGTTCCAGTAACATTGTTCAGATCCCACTGTAACAATTTCTGTTTGTTCAAAAAGTTTCTAAAAAGATCTTTGTAATAAACATGACAAGAATAAACTAAAACTCACATTTTAAAATTAAAACAGCTAGCTCTTAAATGTGATATTATTTACATAGACCAATTTATAAGGACCAGAGATATAACCCAGTGATAGTTACTTGCTTTTTATATGCAAGGCCCTGAAAACAATTTTTAAAAGGAAATTATATTGACCAGTTTCTGTAGCTAAAAGAAAGGGTGAAAGGGTGAATTTGTTTTTTTTGCTTTTTGTTAGTTTTTTTTTTTTTTTTTGGAAAGCTTTACCTGTTTTGCAGTCTCCTTATTGATATGTGAGAAGTGTGATTGGCTAAATAAACGTGAATTGGTTATCCAGTTCTCTTATTGTTCACACTCCAGTGTGTGGAACAGGAACTAATCCCTGAGGTTAATTAAGCCGCACCTGTCATGGAGTGTGACCAACAGTAGTACCCTAAAATAAACTGGGAGCACGCAGACACTGTTATTGTAGTAGACTGATGAAGTTCAGTGTTTAACTTTGCTTATTCCTTTTTAGACATCTGAGAGCAATTTTGGGTTCTGACATGCTGACATAAATCATCTATATGACAAGCAGTATATGACAAGTCTTACTGCCCTGAAAAGCCTCTATAGTCTGGCTAATTTCCATCTTAACCTGACAACAACTGAACAGAGAACAGTACAGTTATAATTAATTATATAATATGTAACTTTTACAGGTTGGATTCTTCTATTTATTAATATGTGTTTACAGTCCCTCCCTGCCCTCTTGTTGCTTGATAGCTCATTTCTTTTTAGTGCTGAATAATATTTCTTTGTCAGAATGCACCATAATTTATTTATTCACTTGTTAGAGGGCATCTTTGTTGCTTCCAAGTACAGGTAATTATGAATAAAGCATACATAAACATATGAAGATTTTCTGTACATAAAAGCTTGCAGCTGATCTGAGTGAATACTTAGAAATATGATCACTGGCCCGTGTGACAGTAGTACATCTAATTTTGTGAACATCAGCCAAGCTGTCTTCCAAAGCGGCTGACCCACTTTGGGTTCTCACTGATAGTGAACGCATTTTATGCTCCACATCCTCATTAGCACTTGGTGTTGGTGTTTAGATTTGAGGCATGGTAGTAAATGTATGTATTTTTTTAAATTAACTTTCACTTCCCAAATGACAAGAAGGACTATTGGCCCTCTTTTCAATGTATTTTCTGGAGAGATGACTCGGTGGTTAAGAATTGCTGTTTTCTTGAGACCCAGGTTCTATTCCCAGCCCACATGGTGGCCCACAACCATCTATAATTCCAGTTCCAGGGAATCCAGTGTCCTCTTCTGATCTGTACAGGCAGTGCACGCATAGACTACATTACACACACCACACACACATACATGGAGGCCAAACATCTATACATATAAAATAAATATAACTGCAAGTTTATTTTTAAATATTTTATTTTTAGAAATTCACTTTGGTATTTCAAATATACAAAGCATTGATTCCAATTCAGTTTCTTCACAATAAATTTCAAATTTACTTTTCAGAGACATAAATGAAATTTATAAATGAATACATTGGTTAATTTTCTTAGTCTCTAGTGGTCTTTCATGCCAACACAGCAATGAAGCAATGGTGGATGCTTTCTAATGATTTTTTATGACATCAGTTTTATGATTGTTTAAAGTATTTCAAATTCATTATAGAACTTTTATGTATTCATCAAAATTGCATATTTGGTAGTTTACTTAATAATGATTTTGTTTCTTAGTTCTAGAAACATTTCCATTCTGGAAACAGGTTTAATAACACTAGCTTAAGTTTCTTAAACCTGTTTTTTTTTTTTTTTTAGACAGGGTTTCTCTGTAGCTTTGGAGCCTGTCCTGGCACTAACTCTTGTAGACCAGGCTGGCCTAGAACCCACAGAGATCCGCCTGCCTCTGCCTCCCGAGTGCTGGGATTAAAGGTGTGCGCCACCACCGCCCGGCCCTTAAACCTGTTTTTCAAAAGAAAAAAAATCTTATATTAAAATGTGATCTACATGTGTTATGATGCTATTTATTTGCATAAAGGAGAAGACTAGTTATTTAATCTTTTAGTCAAAGGCATATATCTATAATAATACAAGAATCCTCTTCATTATTAAAATAAAGTTCTTTGTTCTTTGACTGTTGGGTTTACAGATAGTACTCCCAGACCTTAGTCACTCTGTTGATTCAGTGGCTCCCATTGAAAGGGATCCAGTTTCTGTGCATGAGCTGCCTCCCTCCTTCTCTAGCAGTAACTTAAACTTGTAAGGAGAGGCAGCCGAGTAGGAAATGGAAAGAGAAGAAAGTCATCAAAATTTTGGTGGATAGAGAAAAATAGTCAGTAAATGGATTTAGCTTTTTTGGTTTTCCTACCCTGGAAGTATTAGCTTTTTATGATTTTTATGGATTGAGGGATTTGGGCACAATCCAGAGAGGATGAAGTTTGACTGATAAAATTAGGTTTTCCTTTTGTTTTTGTTTTTTTAAAGAAAGACATATAAAAGGATTATAGAAGATGACAGTTATATTGATACTTAATGTTTTGTAACCGTAATCAAAAGCTTAGAAATAGAAAATAATTCTTTATAAACAAGTTTACTTATGTGGGCTTTTTTTTTAAGTATTTATTTATTTATTTGTTATATATACAATATTCTGTCTGTGTGTATGCCTGCAGGCCAGAAGAGGGCACCAGACCTCATTACAGATGGTTGTGAGCCACCATGTGGTTGCCGGGAATTGAACTCAGGACCTTTTAACTTCTGAGCCATCTCTCCAGCCCCCTTATGTGGGCTTTTTAAATTGGAAATTATAACTATATTGTTTATTGTGTCCTATTGCTGGAAGTTACCTGTTAGTATTAACTAGTGTAGAATACTTCATACTATTAGAAAAATGGACAATACTTTATTTTTTAGTTCCTTAAAATTTTTACTGTTTCATAATAGGTTTTCTAGAGTAGAATTACTTACAGTTGGGTTATTTGTAAAGTTATATTTAGCATTTAAAAAGATCTTATTGATGGGTTAAAATATTAGAATTTACTGACATAATTGGCATGATTTTCCAAATCAGTAAAACTTAAAATATAAAGCAGCCTCTTGTTTGTATTAGCATATTATCGAGAATTCATATTAATACCTATGTTTCTTACTTAAGGGTTTTATATTATTGTAAATAAGTAGATTGGTTTTGCTGCATATATTTTTACAGTGATCTAAATCTTTCAGTGTAACAAGACAAAACTGTGTAAAAATCCTGCCTAAATCTGGAGGGGTCTGAATTCAGAGTTGTGTGAGTGTAACAGACAGGAAGGCAGCGGCATATGTATCGTATTTCCCCAAACCTAGTACTTGAACTTAGTTGACAGAATCGAACTTAATTTACTTCACCATGGATTTTTTTTCTCTAGAATATGAAATCTAATCTTACTCTCGTATCCGTGCTCCCTCGTTACAATATGTCTACTTCATTTTGTGAACGGGGCCGTTTTAAATAAAATGTCAACGGTATTGTTCTGAATGAAACTCAGTACTAGCCCCTCTAATGATGAAGCCTGGTGTCTTTACCCTCTCGGCAGCAGTTTGTCTGAAATGCTGTGTGTTTGCAGGAGGAACAAGCGGCAAAACTGAAAGCTGAGAAGATTAGAGTTGCCCTGGAGAAAATTAAAGAGGCTCAAGTGAAAAAGGTGATGTATGGCTCTTCGCTAGGTTTGAAATATTTACGATTTTTTTCCTGTTTTGTTTTGCTTCATGAATAATTCTACTGTTTATATATACTGTTCTGCTAGTTTATGGAAAGGTGAAAATTTGTTCTCCTATTATCTGTCACATGAGGGTCTGTGGAGATGTTTTATGACAGCCTTTGTCTCTGCGCAGGTCTGAAGGGCCTAACTTAGGCCGCTGTTGATGGCACATCTGACCACATTATCCCTCAGATGTTAAATAAAGGCTGCGCACTACTTTTAAAACAAACACAAATCAGTAAGATTTGCACAATAATTGTATATTTTAAAGGCTTAAAATTAAAAACCTGTAGGCAGGTTTCTTGATATTCAGATTTTACCTTTAATAATAAAGTCAACATAGTCATTATATGTCTTAATTCATTTTTAAAGACTTGACTCAGAATGCTATTTAATGCTGGAAAATACCGTCTTTTAAGGTTACCATTTAATTGCCTTTTTCCCTGTTGCAGCTGGTGATCAGGGTCCACATGTCTGATGACAGTTCTAAAACCATGATGGTGGATGAGAGACAAACCGTGAGACAAGTGCTGGATAACCTGATGGACAAATCTCACTGTGGCTACAGTTTAGACTGGTCACTGGTGGAGACCATTTCTGAGTTACAAATGGGTTAGTAACCCTGCTGCTTTAATTGCTACTTAGCGTCTTTGTAATCCTTAATCTTCATGTTGATAGAAGCATTTTGAGACAGTTTTGATTTTTTTTCTATAAAATTATCAGGCACTTTATCTTTTTAAAGTATGGCTTTTTAATGTTTTTCCTGGTGAGTTTTTAGCTGGAGAGTTCTTTGACTAAAAGATGAATTCCAGTTCACTTTGTATTTTAAAATGATTAAAGGAAAGTTTCTTAATGATAACAAAATGCTTTTTCTTTTAAATAAGAGCTACACAAATACATTTACTAAAAACTGTTACTTTTCCTTCATTTATTTTATGTGTCTGAGTGTGTGTGTGTGCATCTTGTGCATGGGGAAGCCAGAAGAGGGTGTCAGATCCTGTGGCAATGGAGTTATAGGTGGTTGTGAGCTGCCTAATGTTGGTGCTGAGAACTGAACCTGGATCCTCTGCAAGAATGGCAGAAGCTCTTAGTGCTGAGCCATCTCCAGCCCCAGTACTGTTACACTTACTGGTGTTTGTATACAGAAGTCATCAACTCTAAGGGAAACAAAGCACATTAGCAAATTGGAAAGAACACTTCTGACATATGTTCAGTATTGTTTCGTGTGTGTGTGTATACACAGACTTTAGTCTGACACACACAGCACCACCCCGAATCCACGTTAAAAAAAAATCCATACAGAAACATGTGTTCAGTCCTGGGGGGACAGAGAAAGAAGGATGGCGGGACTGAACTAGTGAGCTCCGTGTTCAGGAGGGACTGTTTGGAAATGTAAGGTGGAGAGCATCATCAACCTTTAAGCACTCCATAATTCTGCTATGACTTATTTTGCCTTTCATGTAAGTCTGATGAATACTAACAAAAAGCTGTTATTTAATTTTGTAACAGAGAGAATATTTGAAGACCATGAAAACTTAGTTGAAAATCTTCTTAATTGGACAAGAGATAGCCAAAACAAGCTTATATTTATGGAACGTATAGAAAAATATGCACTTTTTAAAAACCCACAGGTAAGACTGACTAACTTGTGAATGCGGAGTCAGTAGAGTTAAAAGACTGGAAGCCACGTGATTGGGCATTGTAACTGCAAACCCCCACGGGAACAGTCATGACTGAAAACTAACGTAGGAGCCAGGTGTTGGGTCCCACATGGGGTAAACTTTGATAGAAATATAAATAATTGCAGGGTGTTACTAGGTTTCTCCTCTGTAAATCTGGAGATTGTTGAGCCCAGAAGTTCATTAACATTTGAGGTTCTCATTTGCCCAAAGCAGGCCAGAGGTTTTTACCTAGGTAATTACTTTAATTTCTTTGATGGGTTACATAATCGCCTTTTTTGTCATCTTTATTATGACAGTGTAATGTTTGGGTTAGCATTCACAACACCTGTGCCTGTTTTAAATTAGCAGATGGAGTAATGTGCTTCATTTACCATTTCCAGACAGACTTCATTCTCATCCTTTTTTACCTTCCCTTCTCCCCTGCCCCACTCCTCCCCGGTCGGTCAAGAAAAGCAAGAACTCTGTGATACAAAGTGGTGGTGAAAACAGAGCAGTAGTGTTAAAGGTTTTTGCCTGCAGACTGGACTGTGGTTGGTCGGTAGCAGTACTGTTAAAGGTGGTCCGTTTACCCCAGACTTAATTATGGTGGTTAATGAAGAGTATATGTTAAGATGTGTCAGGAGATCTTTTTTAGAAGACTGAAAGAATAGTTATACTCATAATTACAATTCAGATTTTAATTAAAAAGCAAAACTGTTATAGCAGAATTTGAGGCTTCCTCTTAAAAAGCCAGAATATTAATCATCATCTGGAGCAGCATGCTAGATCCAGAATAGAACTATGCTGGTTTAGCATATCTCAGGAACTCTTTCCTGATCTTATTCTACTTTATAATGCTTTTGGGTGTTTTTATATAACTAGTTAACTATCCTGAAATACCTGCTGTTGCATATATTGTCACCTCAGAATGTGGAAGAAACAGTCTATGGAATACTTCATAGAATGTGTTTTGGGCAAGATGGCGGTGGATGAGGAACATTTTAATGATGATTCTTACATGGAAGGAGCTTCATGAAATACTTCCCTTCCCTACGTACTGGCAGAAGTAAACTTGGAGTGGCTACTTTTCTAGAGCAAATGATGTATGTGTTTACTCCCAAGGGAATAGTGGAATGCGTTTAATTTTCATTTCTTTCCCTCCCTCCCTTTCTTCCTTTCTTTTTTTTTAGAATTACCTTCTTGGGAAAAAGGAGACAGTTGAGATGGCAGACAGAAACAAAGAGGTGCTGTTAGAGGTATGGCTCATTCTCCCTTTCTTGCTCATTTTAAAATTGAAACTTTAAGCATCTTTGACGTCAGCTCTGTCAGTGTTCTAACTGTGCATACCTGTTGAGTCCCTAACAAACCTCTTACAAACTACTTTTTGCCAAGCAATATTCTAGTAGGTTAAAAGGAGTAATGACCTTTTAAGGGTTTCCACATAGAAGGAATTAAAATGTGCCTATGCTGGTCACATCAGCTTTTCCAGAGGGTCAGATAGCCCTGTCAGTAGTACTTTCTTAGTTAGCACCAAGAGCTGAGTTGGTAGCCCCAGTGGATTCCTGGCATGCACTAGCTAGCCAGCCTATCCTCTGAGCTTAGTGAGAGACCATGTCTCAGAAAATAAGGTGAAAGGCAACTGGAGAAGACACCTGGCATCAGCCTTTAGCCTCCAGACTTCCATGTCACCACACATCACAAACACACAAAGAAAAAGAAGTGGGACTCGGTAGTATTATATGCAACTCAGTTGAGTTCATAGGAAAATATTCTTTTTTGTTTGTTTGGTTTTTGTTTTTTGAGGCAGTATTTCTCTGCATAGCCCTGGCTATCTTGGAACCTACTCTGTAGACCAGGCTGACCTCAAACTCACAAAGATCCACCTGCCTCTATCATGACTATAATTAAGAATATTTCCCACTGGGCAGTGGTGGCACTGTGGAGTCAGACATCTTGTGTGCTATGGTGTATGTGTTGTGTGTGTACATGGGCATTCAGGATTACACACCCCTGTCTAGAGGAGAATGCCAGGTATCTTCTCTCACTCTACCTTAGACCCTCTGAACTAAGCTGGCTACCCAGCAAGCACGTGTAGCCATATTCAGCTTCTTATATAGGTGGTGGGATTCAAACTGAGGTAGTCATGCTTGCCAGCAAACACTCTACCCACTGAGCTATTTCTCAGCCCCATGACACATATTTATGAATGAACACTTTAGATTGCCACAGTAATTCTAAAGTACTTTCCTACTGTGTTTAGAATAGAAAGTTCTTTCAGAAAACTGTTGTGTTTTACTTAGTGTTACGCATTTCACAGGAGTAGCAAATTCATTTTCTGAAAATATAAAGATCATAAATCTTTCCAAATGATTTTCTTTTTTAAAGGAATGTTTTTGTGGAAGTTCTGTAACTGTCCCAGAAATTGAAGGAGTCCTTTGGTTAAAAGACGATGGCAAGAAGTCTTGGAAGAAGCGTTACTTTCTCTTGCGAGCATCTGGCATCTACTATGTCCCTAAAGGAAAAGCAAAGGTATGTCACTTCTGTGCTTCCTACATTGTGCTAGCTGCAATGTCTCCATAGTAACAATACCATTGTACCTGTGTAAGACACACAGAAGATAATTTTGTGTATTTATCTGTTGTAAAGAAGAGAAAGCTAAAAACTGTTCACTTCTCTGCCTTTTATTCGGGTTTATCTCAATTCTCTACTCTCTTTCCCTGTTGGGATTTGTTGTTGTAATGGGAAGATCTTCATGTAGCTCAGGCTGGCCTCAGAATCACCGTGGAGATTAGGGTGACACTGAACTCTTGGTCCTCTTGACTCCCCCCTCCCACTTCCTAGGTGCTGGGGTTACAGGTATGCATCACCATTTCAGCTAAACATAGTTTTATTATTTGGGAGGTGTAGGGAAGGTCTTGCTAGAGTTGTGTGTATTTCATCTTGGGAGCATGGCTTTCTAGGATTAGGTTACCTTCAGTCTTGAGTAATGTGGTCTTGCTGAGGTATATGCTACCAGTTGTGCTTATTTGGGTTCAAAGCTAGTCTAAGCATTTACAGTATCATCCTAGTCCTAAAAACTCTGAGTGTAAGCATCACCTCTGCCTGCTGAGGTGATTCCCAGTTGAGAATCTCTGTATTTGAGGCTTGCATTATAGCCATTCAGCTACTTGATAGATTCTTATTCTTTCCTAAGAGTGCTGCTATTACCTGTACCTGTTAACTGTAGCTGTTACGTGATGTGGATACTGTGTATAGCATGTTTAAAGTACCAACATCTCTAAATCAATATTCATTAGGAATTACATATTACAAGCAAGTACTCTGCCTTTTTGGCTATATTGTAAACGAAGAAAAATTTTGATCTTACTTTCTACCTAATAAAGGTTTGATTCCCAACTGAAAACTCTTACCTGGTATGATAGTTGCTTATTTGCATTATTAAACTGATCTTTGGTTTTTTGTTTTGTTTTGTTTTTAAGGTGTCTCGGGAACTGGTGTGCTTTCTTCAGCTGGATCATGTTAATGTGTACTATGGGCAGGACTATCGGAGCAAGTACAAAGCACCCACAGACTGTTGTCTGGCGTTAAAGGTACAGCTCAGCAATTGTGATCAGCATTAGGTAGAGGCTACTTGACATCTGGATCTTCAAGTAGGTTCTGTGTCTTTGTAAGAAGATAAGAGGACGAGGGGTAGCTCAGCAGTTAAGGATTAAGGTTTTGGGTTTTTTTTTTTTTTTTTTTTTTTTCTTGCTCCATCCTAGCACCAGGGAGAACAAGGTAAAAGTAGAGTGTGACCTAGTAGTTCATACCAGTGATCCCAGCACTCAGGATTGGAACCAGACCCTGTCGTGGAAAAAGAGTTTTACCGTCAGACATTTATTTTTTGTGGTTTTCCTCAACTTTATTAGTAAAACCTGAAGAGGGCACTATTCCCAAATTCAAAATTCCCCTGTTTTCATCTGGTTGAGGAATAACCAGGTCTGTCTGTACCTTCCCCCAAATTATAGCCATCCTAGTCTGTTATCTATGCTTTTATTAGGGAGTTTTCTTCTCTATCAGTCAGGCTTTAAGTTTCTCACACTAACTGTGGCCATACACTAGAGGAGAATGGGCACTTTTTAGTATTTTCAGTGATATAAATTAACATTTATAAAGATAGCCTACTGTTGCAGCTTATAGTAAAATAGTCTCACATTAGCCCAGAATGGAGGTTTATTTATTATTTAGGGGTAGACTCACAAAAAAAAAAAGGTGGTGCTCAGCCGTCCTCTGCGTGGGTGCGAAGCTGGGACCAAACCCAACAGCCAAAAAGGGCCGTGCATGCCTTTACATCTGCATATATATACCACGTGAGGTTAGGGTTATATCTATATCATGTGACTTTAAGGGTATTGACTGAAGGAATTCCCACAGCAGCCTACAAAGATTCAAGAAAAGTTACTGAGAGAATTAAGTAATACTCAGTGGCTCCATCTTCAGGACTCTCAATACTACTTAGGTCTGCATGTTTGTATCATACTTTTTTCTGTGAGAAGCCTTAGTTGGGTTTAAAGAGTACCATTTGTTTAGAATTTGGGGTTGGATTCTGGATTTCTTTGGTAAAAATGGATGTAATATAATAGCAGTCCTGTACTAAATAAACTTTCTTAGACAACATGAATGCATCATTGAAGTTAGTTACAGAAGCAGCTTAGTTTGTTTTTGCTTTTTAATTTGTCTTAGTTTTTTTTTTCTTCATCTTTTTGAGACAGCCTTCCTGTGTAGCCCAATCTAGCTTCAAACCTGGGCTCCTCTGCCTTGGCCTTCAGATTACTGAGGTTACAAATGTGTGTCACCATACACTATTAAGAAGTTGATAGGGGTAACTTCAGCCAGTGGCTTGTTAAGTCCAAGGTCCCTTAGGAAACCCAAAGACCATTATATCAACATGAGGTTTGTAATACTGAGATATTACTTGCCTCAACATTCTTGTCATCTGAGTGTATAGAGGAATTTTCTTAGAGGTTCCATAATGATATTTTTCCTATCTTAACTATTAAGAGGTATTTGGGGACAGTTGTGTTCTTTTATCTTAATTATTTTCCTCTCATTTTAATTTCTAATAAAGAAAATATTGCAGGGAAAGAGTAAACTTCAACACTATCCTCTTATCCCACCAAAGAGTGCACGCTGCAGTTTGTAAAGAAAGAAGCCTACAAAATATTGTTCCACCAGTCAGGTGTGACCATGGACTTCTGTCCTAAGAGTGCCATATATATTCCTTACGTGCCTGGTGTAGGTGTTGACCCCCAGGGAAGGACCGTCTCCTTCTAAACCATGATTTCCTGGATAAACATTTCTCTTCCATTTTCAGTCGTACATACTGAGAACTCTGCTGACTTAATCTTGATAGAGTTGTTCATAGATGTGTAAAAGGGAATACTTATGAACTTCCGAAGTGGGACAACTTGACATAAAATTTAACATGATATATACTTTATTTAAAAAAATATAAGTATGCGCTGTTTTATTCCACTTTATGATTAAATAAGAAGTATGTACCGAGCTGGGCATGGTGGTGCATGCCTTTAATCCCAGCATTTGGAAGGCAGAGGCAGGCGGATCTCTGTTGAAGGAGCAGCGGGCCGCGTTCCTGCCACCCGGCTCCTGGCCGCCAGCTAGCTTATGCCCCGAAATAATTACACGGAAACTATTCTTTTAAACACTGCCTGACCCATTAGTTCCAGCCTCTTATTGGCTAGCTCTTACATATTGATCTAACCCATTTCTAATAATCTGTGTAGCCCATGAGGTGGCTTACCAGGGAAGATCTTAACCTGCGTCTGTGTTGGGTGGGAGAATCATGGCAATTGCCTGACTCGGCTTCTTTCTCCCAGCATTCTATCTGTCTACTCCACCTACCTAATTTTCTGTCCAATCAGGGCCAAGAAAGTCTCTTTATTTAACCAATGAAATTAACAACAAACAGAAGACTCTCCCCCATCAGATCTCTGAGTTTGTGCAGCCAGCCTGGTCTACAGAGCGAGTTCCAGGACAGTCAGAAGTACACAGAGAAACCCTGTCTTGAAAAAAAAAAAAAAAAAAAACAAGAAAAAGTCTGCACTGGTTTGCCATTTCTTAAGACCGTGACTTAGGGTTAAGTGTCAGTTCTCTAGATTTAGTGGGTTCTGCTTTCCTTTGGCAGCACCCACAGATCCAGAAGAAGTCTCAGTATATCAAGTACCTCTGCTGTGATGATGTGAGGACTCTGCACCAGTGGGTCAATGGGATCCGAATCGCAAAGGTACAGTTTTTTTTTTCGTTTGAGGCTGGAATAATGAAATGGCTAATTAGGTAATTTGGGTTGTTGATGATGGTTCTGGTTGTTCTGTGCTCATCATTTTGCTAGTGTCTAGTTTCCTAAGTTCATGTTTTAAATGCCTTATTTTCCATGGAGGTTGCGAAATATGTTGATGTCTGTGGAATGATATTGGTGGAAATAACTTGTGTGGTATCAGAGTGACTTATTTCTACTTTGGAGCATGCATTATGATTTTTTTTTATTAAATTTTTAAAGTTTATTTTACATACCAAGCACGATGTCCCCTTCTTCCTCTCTTCTGTTCCCTCCTCAACCTCCCATCTACACCCCCATATCCACTCCTCCTCCCAGGGAAGTCAGCAAGGCATAATCATATTGAGGCAGGACTTAGCTTTTCCCCACTGCATCAAGGTTGGCAAGGCTTCCCTGCATGCAGCATAGGTTCTAAAAAGCCAACTCATGAGCAAGGGACATGTCCTGACCCCACTGCTATGGGAACCACAAAAGACCAAGCTACACAACTGTCCCCCACGTGCAGAGGGCCTAGGTATATGCCCAAGAGTGATACAGCTGGATCTTGAGGTAGATTGAGTCCAGTTTGAGAACCCGCCATACTGATTTCCAAAGTTTTCACTCCCACCAGCAGTGGAGGAGTCTTCCCCTTACTCCACTTCCTCTTCAACATAAACTGTCATTAGTGTTTTTTGATCTTAACCATTCTGACAGGTGTATGATGGTATCTCAGAGTCATTTTGATTTGCATTTCTGTGATGGCTAAGGATGTTGAACAGTTCTTTGAGTGTACCTCAGTCATTTGAGATTCTTCTGTTGAGAATTCTGTTTAAATCTCTACCCCATTTTTAATTGAATTACTTGTTATTTTGATGTCTAGTTTCTTGAGTTCTTTATATATTTTGGAAGATCTATCAGACATGGGTTGGTGAAGTTCTTTTCCCATCCTGTAGGCTGCCGTTGTGTCTTAGTGGCATTGTCCGTTTCAGGAGGCCCCATGTGTTAATTGTCAGTCTCGATGTCCATGCTACTCGTATTACATTCCGGGAGTGCTCTCCTGTGCCAGTGCATTCAAGGCCACTTCCCACTTTCTCTGCCATCAGGCTCGGTATAACTGGGTTTATGTTGAGGTCTTTTATCCACTTGGACTTGAGATTTGTGCAGGGCAGTAGATAGAGATCTATTTGCATTCTTCTACATGCAAACATCCAGTTATGCCAACACCATTTGTTGAAGATCCTTTCTTTTTCCTATAGTATAATTTTGGGCTATCAAAAATGAGATGTTTATAAGTTACGGATTTGTGCCACGGTCTTCGATTCCATTGATCCACATGTCTGTTTTTATGCCAATACCATGCTGTTTTGATTTCTTTAGCTCTATAGTAGAGCTTGAATTCAGGGATGGTAATACCTCTGGACGTTCCTTTATTATACAGAACTGTTTAAACTATCCTGGATTTTTTTTTAAATTACCGCCTCCTTCCCGTTTCCATTTCCCTCCCCCTCCTCCCACACATCTCCTCTTCCCCCCACTTCCCTCCCCCTCCCCCCTCCCCCCACTCCATTCCCCCTCCCTCCTGAGAATGATGAGCAGTCCAGGTTCCCTGCCCTGCGGGAAGTCCAAGGTCCCCCCACTTCTATCCAGGACCAGGAAGGTGAGCATCCAAACAGGCTAGGCTCCCTTAAAGCCAGTTCATGCATTAGGATTGAAACCTAGTGTCATTGTCCTTGGCTTCTCATCAGCCTTCATTGTCTGCCAAGTTCAGAAAATCCAGTTTCATCCCATGCTTATTCAGTCCCAGTCCCGCTGGCCTTGATGAGCTCCCAATAGATCAGTTCCACTGTCACAGTGGGTGGGTGCACCCCTCTTGGACCTGACTTCCTTGCTCATGTTCTCCCTCCTTCTGCTCCTCATTTGGGTCTTAAGAGCTTAGTCCGGTGCTCCAATTTGGGTCTCTGTCTCTATCTCGATCCATCGCCAGATGAAGGTTCTAAGGTGATATGTAAGATATTTATCAGTATGGCTATAGGATAGGGTCATTTCAGATTCCCTCCGCTCAGTTGCTCAAGGTACTCGCTGGGGACATCTCCCAACACCGCTCTCTATCCTGGATTTTTTGTTTTTTGTTTTTTTTTCCATATTAAGCTGAGTATTGCTCTTTCAAGATCTGCAAAAAATTTTGTTGGGATTTTGATAGGGATTACATTAAATCTGTAGATTGCTTTTGGTAAGATTGCCATTTTTACTATGTAAATCCGACTGATCCATGAGTATGGGAGATCTTTCTGTTTTCTAATACCTTCTTCAACTTCAAAGAGCTAAACTTTTTGTCATACAGGTCTTTCACTTGTTTGGTTAGAGTTACCACAGCATATTTTTATATTATTTGTGGCAATTGGAAAGGGTATTATTTCTCTGCTTTCTTTTTCAGCCCACTTACCATTTGTATATAGGAGGGCTACTGATTTTTGTGGGTTAATCTTGTATCCAGCCACATTAATGAAGTTTTTATCAGCTGTTCCCTGGTAAATTTTTGGGGTCATCTATGTATACTGTCATATCATCTGCAGATAGTGAGAGTTTGGCTTCTTCCTTTCAAATTTGTATCTCCTTGATCTCCTTTTGTTGCCTAATTACTCTAGCTAGAACTTTTGAGTACTGTATTGGATAGATATGGAAAGAGTGGACAGCCTTATCTTGTTCCTGAATTTAGTGGAATTGCGTTGAGTTTCTCTCCATTTAATTTGATGTTGGCCATCAGCTTGCTGTATATTGTATATTGCCTTTATTATGTTTAAGTATGTTCCTTGTATTCCTTTTCTCTCCAGAGCCTTTAATCATGAAGGGATGTTGGATTTTATGAAAGTAATTTTCAGCATCTAATGTGGTTTTTCTTTTTTGTTTATTTGTAATGGTGACACTGACAGATTTTCATATGTTGAACCATCCCTGCATCTCTGGGATAAAGCCTACTTGGATGATTTTTCTGATGTGTTCTTGGATTCAATTTGAGTATTCTTGCATCAATGTTCATGAGGGAAACTGGCCTATAATTCTCTTTCTTTGTTGTATCTTTGTATAGTTTGGGTATTAGAGTAACTGTAACCTTGTAAAAAGAACTTGGCAATGTTCCTTCTGTTTCTATAGTCTTGGAACAATTTGAGGCATGTTGGTATTTGCTCTTTGAAATTTTGATGGAATTCTGCACTGAAACCATATCGCCCTGGCGTGTGTGTGTGTGTGTGTGTGTGTGTGTGTTGTGTGTGGAGGGGAGGCTTTTAATGACTGTTTCTATTTCCCTAGAGGTTATAGGTTTATTTAAATTGTTTATCTGGTCAAGAAAATTGTCCATTTCTTTTAGATTTTCCAATTTTGTAGAGTAGAGGTTTTTGAAGTATGACCTTAAAGATTCTTTGGATTTCCTCAGTGTTTGTTGTTATGTCTGATTTTATTAATTTGGATATTCTCTCTCTATCTTTTAATTTTTATAAGGGTTTGTCTATCTTGATTTTTTTCAAAGAACCAACTCTGTGTCATTGATTTTTTTTTTTTGTATTCTGTTTCTGATTTATTGATTTCAGCCCACAGTTTTTATTTTATTTCCTGCCATCTACTCCTGGGTGAATTTGCTTCTTTTTGTTCTGGAGCTTTCAGGAGTGCTTTCAAGTTGCTAGTGTGAGATGTCTCCAAATTCTTGATGTAGGCACTTAGTGCTATGAAATTTCTCCTTAGCACTGCCTTCATAGTGTTCTGTAAGTTTGGGTATGTTTAATTCTAGGAAGTCTTTAATATTCTTATTTCTTCCTTGATCCAGAGATGATTCATTTGAGCATTGTTTAGTTACCATGAGTTTGTAGGCTTTCTCTGGTTGGTTGTTGTTGAACTCTTACCATGGCGATCTGATAAGATACAGGGGGTTAGTCCTTTTTTCTTTTTTTTTTTTTTTTTGTAGCTACTGAGGTTTGCTTTGTTATCGAGTGTGTGGTCAATTTTTTGAGAAGGTTCCATGAGCTGATGTGAAGAAGGTATATTCTTTTGATATTTTTTGTTGTTTTGGTGATGGTAGTGGTGATAGTATGTGTGTTTCCTTTCTTTGGGTTTTGGTGGTGTGAGATTACCTGCTGCATGTATTTTTGTGGATGCAGAAAAGCTAGCTTTCTTGTGATGGCGTCTTCCTCCTGATGTGGATAGGTATTGTTTAAATCTGGTTTTATCATGAAGTATCTTGTTTTTTCTGTCTATGATGGTGGAAAGTTTTGCTGGGTGTAGTAGTCTGTGATCCCTTAGTGTGTCTGCAAAATGTCTGTCCAGGACCTTCTGGCATTATCATCTCCACTGAGAAGTCAGGTGTAATTCTGATTGATAGATATGCCATAACTCGGCCTGGGTCCTTTGCAGCTCTTAATATTCTTTTTTTATTTTGTAGTGTTTTATTATATTACAAGGGGACTTTTGTTGTTGTTTTGGTTTGGTCCAGTCTATTTGGTGTTCTGTAAGTTTCTTCTACCTTTATAGGCATGTCCTCCTTTAGGTTGGAAAGTTTTGTTGAATGTTTTCTGTGTCTTTGAGCTGGTCTTCTCCTTCTATCCTAATTATTCTCTTGGTTTGATCTTCATGGTGTCTCAGCTTTCCTGGATGTTTTGCGTTAGGAATTTATTGGATTTAACATTTTCTTTGGCCGATTTCCTCTATTCTATCTTCAGTGCTTGAGATTGTCTCATATTTCTTTTATTCTGTTGGTGATGCTTGTATCCGTAATTCCTGTTCACTTTCCCAGATTTTCCGTTTCCAGAATTTCCTTCATTTGTGTTTTGTTTATTGTTTCTATTTCAGTTTTCAAGTCTTGAACCATTCCTTTGCCTGTTTCTTTTCCTTGGCTTTCTTTGCCTTTTTAAAAAGAATTTATTGATTTCTTCCAATTTTTTTGTTTGTCTTTTCCTTGATTTCTTTGAGGGAATTCATCTTCATAAAGTTATTTTTGAGGTCTTTTTTTGTGTGTTTCAGCTGCATCAGAACGTTCAGGTCTTGCTATTATAGGATCACTGGGTTCCGCCTGCCACACTGCTCTTTCGATTGTTGGATGTATTCTTACACTGGCGTTTGTTTACTCATCTGTTCTTCCAACTGGTGTGGGATGTGTCTGTGCCTGTTTAGTCTGCTGGGGTTGCAGGGGAGGGCTGGCCTCGGGGAAGGTGTTCAGGTACATGGGGTTGTGCGGTGGAGTGTGTCTTGGAGGGACAGAGTCTAGTGGGTGGCGGGGCTGGTGGTGCAGCCGAGAGGCAGGTCTCTCGCATTATATGATTATTATGTCGTCAAGTTTAGCCTAAGCAGATCTTGCCAACTCCCAAATAAAAAGTATTCAATTAAGTTATGGTTATTTATCAAGTAGATTTGGAACAGTGCCCCTGAATAGTGCTAAGAATCTAGCTCTAGATCTCTTGGAGTGATAAAACTTTTATTTCTATTATAAACACCAATAAAATTGTCTCTTCCTGCTGTCCTTACAACTGAGGAAAATGAGTTTGAATGTAACTCTATAGAATTAAGGACTATTTGTAGTACTGTAGGTATTAGTAGAAACTAGTGTACAGATATTATTCTCCCTTCCCACATTCTTCCACGTACCAGTTCAGAGTTTAATGTCACTATCTGTCCTCTCTTGTTTAGTATGGGAAGCAGCTCTACACAAATTACCAAGAAGCCTTGAAGAGGACAGAGTCCGCTTATGATTGGACTTCATTATCCAGCTCCAGCATTAAATCTGGGTCCAGTTCTTCCAGCATCCCAGGTAGTTCAAAAGTACCACACAGCACTATTTTACTACCAGTATCAAGAGTGAAATTTCAGCTTTTTTTTTCTTAAAAGCAACAGCCATACATAATTTCTAATCCGTGGGTATTTTTTTTCTTATTTCTCCACAAAACTGTTAAAAGTGCAATGTTATGAACTATTCACAAGTATCTGAAGTGCACTTCTAATGCACTGTAATAGTTTATGAAGTTTATTTTAAAACGCATACATACTAACTAATAAGACATGATATAGAAGCCACTTGGAGAAGTACTCATAAGCCATCAGGATACTACATCCCTGACATTGCCGTGCAGGGAAAACACTTCCAGCTAGTTCAGAATTACAACTTCCCATATCTGTACTCACATCTTCTGTAAAATGCTTCTTTCAGAATCTTCCCTGAATCATTGTTTAATGATTTAAAATTGCATGATTTGCCATTATCTCTAAATAATAAAAAAAAATTTGGAATTGTGGTACACACACATGCACAAACACTAACCTGTGAAAATGTAATGTATACATATGTAAGTATGTATTTTCTGGTTCTGTCCATTGAAGGGGTCTAGAAGAAGGGACACCCCAGTAATAAGGAGACTGCCCACAGCCCAGTCACCAAAAGGAACCAGAGCTCTTGGGCAGATGGCTGGTTCTAGAGCTGTGGTAGAGAACAGACGAGATGAGCCTCAAGCAGAAGGACTTAAAAATAGGATGAGGGATTATCATAGGGCATAGATGCCAACTGGAGAAAGTTTCAGTGTCTAACACTTTGAGCAAAAGAAATATACAATGGTATAAAATTATAACCAAATTAGAAGAAATATCACTTTGAATCCATGATAACATAATTTCCATACAAAATATTTTAAAGACTTTAAGTACATTTTAGTTAAAATGTCTTTTCCCCCCAGCTCTTTTCATGCCCCACCAACTCTTTGTGTGTATCTACAAACGTTGTGTGTACCATGTACATGTAGGTGCTCGTGGAGGCCAGAAGAGGGCACTGGTCCCCTGTAGCTGTGAGCTTCCTAACGTGGGTGCGGGGGCAGAATCCAAGTCCTCTGCAGGAACAGCGCATGCTCCAGCCTCCCAAAATGTTTCTAAGTGATTTCTGTGCACACGTTGCCCTCTTGCAGAGCTACACATAGTGATTGACCTTAAAAGAAGTAGGGTTGAGAAAGCAGAAACTTCACGGTGGAGAAAGTAGACAAGCAGTGTCTAGTCCCATTGATTGTAGTTTCCTTGATACAGTGTGATGAGATTTGACCAAAATGGAGCAACTTTCAGAGGCATCAAGATGGCCAACTATATTGTGGTATCCTGGACCAGAGTATGGATATATGAAATGTGACATATAGTTATTAGTAAATCAGTGTTTTTTCATAGCTATGGCAAATGTACTATAAACAGAATAATGGGACAGATTAGATGCTGAATCGGTAAGAACTCAGACTTACTCTATTTTAATATGAAAATAATGTATAAAAATCTAAAATGAGATGTTCATCAAAGTGGAAAAAAATGCTGAGAAGTTGGACTAGAAAGACAAGGTTAAAAAGCCATGCAGCAAGTAGGATTCAGAGAAGGCCAGGGGGTTGTGGAAAGGCATATTCTGTTTTTTAGTCATGTAGCACTTAGCTCCAGTGCTCACATCCATTCCCTCAGGAAATATTATGCCTTTTCCTTCACTAGTGCCATCCTCACGCTTCATTGAAATGTTAGACTTTCTAGGATAAAACATAAAATCAGAATGATTACTGTTGACGAGCACAAGGATTCATGTACTCCAGTCTTACAGGCTCTTGTCAAATTGGGATAGTGAATGAGCCTAGTGTCCTAGTCATAGCTTTTCATCATATCCCTTAAGAATGGTCTTAACTCTGAAGAAGCTAGGGCTTAGGCTACTGGGTTATTTTAATATTTTCCATTCTTCACAAGGTGATTGTTTGTCTGGGAAGAGCTTTGAGTCTCCACTACCTGCGAGACATCACATAAGGTGCATACATACTCGTACTGGGAAGTCATCTTTCCAGTTCTTCCAGCCCCTACATCAGTTGAAGGTGCTTGTTAGCCTCAGCCCCAGCCCTTGTCCCTCCCCACTGTCACCTGGCCTGGAAGCAGGCTGTGCATGACTGCTGCCATACCTGAATCCCTGGGGAAATCACCAATACTGTTGATTGCTAAGGAAGAGTCTGAATGTATGAGCTGCTCTGCAATGGCTGAAAAAGCCTGATTCTTAAGCTAATGTGGATGTGATTAATGGCTCAGCAATTCTTTTTATTTCTTCTTCTTCTTCTTCTTCTTCTTCTTCTTCTTCTTCTTCTTCTTCTTCTTCTTCTTCTTCTTCTTCTTCTTCTTCTTCTTCTCCTCCTCCTCCTCCTCCTCCTCCTCCTCCTCCTCCTCCTCCTCCTCCTCCTCCTCCTCTTCTTCTTCTTCTTCTTCTTCTTCTTTTGTTTTTAAAACTTTTTCAGAGTAAATTTTTATCCAAGACAGGTTTTTTTGGGGTTCTACTGACTTGTGTCAGTTTTTCATGGTGAACTATTAAAAAGTTAGAGTCAAATTAATCAAAAACTAATCGTAAGATAAGGTTTTTCTACTAGAATATATTTGCTGAGTTTAGAGTAAGATGAGCTGATTTGCCATTTTATGTAGTGTTTACCCATAACGTTTAAAATGTGTATATCCATATGATCAAATGATAACTGACGAATTTTTTTTAATATTTTAAACAGAGTCTCAGTCAAATCATTCTAATCAGTCTGACAGTGGAGTCTCTGACACCCTACCCACAGGACACATCCGATCCCAAAGCACTGTGAGCTCCATGTTCTCGGAAGCCTGGAAGCGTGGCACTCAGTTGGAAGAGTCCAGCAAGGTAACACACTAATTTTATTTACACATAAAAGTCTGTGGTCACCCACTGGCTTAGCTTGTATTCCTTTATCAGAGTCTCATTTGGCACTATTTCAATCTTCCTTCTTAGAGGGTCAGCTGATACTATAATAGGGAAAACCATTAGTGGCCGTTATTTATGCAGTTTAACCAGCGGCTTACGTGTTTCAGTTACAGCGACCCCTCCCCTGTTCAGCATTACCAGTTCACTGCAACAACACCATGCAGTGCCATTGCCCTAAAGTCCCAGAGAAGTTGCTTATAATTCTTAATCGTTTTAATTAGTTCAGATTCGGTCCTTATCGTTCATTTTTGAGGTCTGTAGACCCCAACAAATTTTCTCAAACTATGTGTTATGCAGAAGGCTAAATTCACTCTTAAAATTTTGGATTTCTGAGCCTTGGATAATTAATATTCAGTAACATTATTACAGGCTATAATGTTGAGAGTTTTTTCTTTTATATATATTATATATATAAAAGAATTTTNGTTATCTCCTGGCATTTTTGAGGATCCCTGTGCAATCTTGTCATCTTTGTAAAGGCTTTGACTGAAATTCAATTCTAATTCCCTATCTCTACTTTCTACTCTATTCAAGCAGAAGAAGAAGAAGAAGAAGAAGAAGAAGAAGAAGAAGAAGAAGAAGAAGAAGAAGAAGAAGAAGAAGAAGAAGAAAGAAAGAGAGAGAGAGAGAGAACGATTAGCTAGACTGTTGGTGTGTGGAATGACAAAAGAGAAGGGTTCAGCCTGCAGAGCCAAAACACAGCACTCATAAGCGATCAACTCCAAGATGAACAAGGGCACAGCCCACACCTAGACACAGTCCAATGAGAAATAGATGCTAAAGCTCAATAACTAACAGATTAAGAAATAAGATTCTATTTTACACAGGAATAATCCTATAAAACTCACACTTGCACAAATTGTGCAAGAATTGAAATATAAACAGTTGAATTGTGTTCATCTGTAAAGGACAATGAAATAATCATGTCTGCAGAAAAATGGATGGCTCTAGAAGTCATTTTGGTATATAAAATAAACAATGTGGGAAAAATATCATATATTCTGTGGATTCTATATCTATAGATACCTGTCTGTATGGATTATAAACCTGGATGTTATGTATTTTATATATATATATGGAAAATTTTAGACGTAAATACAAAGTATTTTAAGAATAATCCCCACTCCCCCCCCAGAGTTACCTCACATCCCGAGTTCATGTCCTTTTTTTTTTCCTTCCAACAATTCACTTAGTCCAGTTTGTCCTGCTGATATATACATAGCTGACTAGCCGCTGGAATATGGGTCATCCCACCAAGAGCCACACCATCACAGAAAACAGAAGCCGTCAGCTGTCAACTGCTCCCCAGTTAGGGGTGGGGGCTCATGAACTCCTTTCCACTCTCCACTACAATGCTGACCTGCTTTTGTGCAGGCAACCACAGCTGAGCTTATCCACTTGGGTCCTCTCCATGTCAAAATGTCCCTTCTCCCTCATGTACAATGGTTGCCGCACCTTGGGGAGAGGTCATGTGATGTATAGATGTCCCGATTGGCGCTGACCACTGCACAGTCACTTACTCTCTGACTTGGCCTAGTGTGAGTTTTTGTATTAGCCCCATCTACTGCACACACAAACTTCTTTGTTAAGATTTGAGAGCGACCTTAGAGGTTTTCTTAGCTAAGTAGTCCTCCATCAGGTATCCTCAGAATTCCTGTAGGAAGGATATGTTCTGGCTGCAGTCACCACTTCAAGCAGAAAGGGTATACCATCATTGAGGACCCAGGGGTACCCTGGCCAGACTCCTGATTTTTACAGTCATCGTTTTGTTGTTTTGTTTTGTTATGGTTCTTTTGGTCTGAGTCACAAATACAAACACATCCACAAACGAGAATCAAAAGGAACATTTAAATTTGTCCTCAAAACAGATTCATTACCTAATTTTTATATGTGGTTGATTAGCTGGCGTGGGGGTGGGAGGTATGAAAGTGAGTAGTTAATAATTGGTTTTAATGACCTAAACTCTTTAAACACTGTTAAAATCCCTTATCAGAAAATTTTAATAATTCTTTCTTCAATCCTAGAACCTTTTTCCTCAAGTACTAGATATTGAACCTAGGACCTTGCACATGCTAGGCAAACACTCTGTCACAGACCTATGTCCCAATCTTTTTAATGTTTCCTAGCTGTCCTTCAGTGTGTAATCCTCCTGTCTCAGCCTTCTAAGTAGGACCGTGTCAACAGTTTAGGTGAACATAATGCTCTAAGCACGTACTAGAAACCATATTCTATGTAATTTTACATGTGTGCCTTGGCGGGGGATGTAGCTCAGTGGTAGAGCACTTGTCTAGCATGCACCAAACTCCAGGTTACAAAGCTACCTACTTGTCACATGTGAAATCAAGGAAAGCAAAGACTCTGTGCTTAGGAAACAAAGTCTGTCACTGTAGTTTCTGAAAGAGAATCAACCCTGCTGTGCAGTAGTGTCAGAGTCTTGATCCTGTGTTTCTTCTGTTACCTCAGTCCCAGGTGCCACACGAGAAGGCCCGCACAGCTAAGGTCAGCAGGCCTGAAGCAGCCAAGACAGGGTCAAGTTAAGGTCAGGGCTGTTCTCTGAAATACATTAACCTGGGTGACGCCTATAACCAAATCTTACAAACTAATGCTTTTCGTTTCATGTATAATTTTTAGAGAACCATGTGAACGTCCTGATAGGCATTAGAATTCAGCTCTGTGAATGAACACTGTAGTTCTAAGTACCCTCCATCTCAATCAGTATCATTTGTGATTGAAAAGAGTTCACAGAAATAAGAGCCCAAAAGGCGTTCCCAAAGTTATTAAATCAAAATTCCTTCATTTCCTTATTTCAGAAGTCCTTGAGCCAGAGATTTATACATGGTTGTTCAGGCAACAAGCAACCGAATGTAGTCATTTCGGCAATACTAATACTACCCAGACGGCGTGGTCGGCAGCTTACTGGCAAACCTTAGCTCCTACTTGATGACTTCTCTTAGTTCTACAGAGTTTCTTCTTATTTTCATCTGGCTTTTTCTGTGTGATGTTTTATCTTTTGCTGTAATGTTTACAGCACATTTCTTTATGTACTTCCCAGTAAAGCAAACGCAAAGAGTGCTCCCCTTTCTTGCACTGCTGGACTTGTGTGCATGTTGGATGCAAATGTTTCACACAACACGAGCGTGTGTGTCGAGTTCTTTCATTCCTGTGTGACTGCACAACTGCTGAGCATTCTCACACTCCTGTGTCGGCTTACTAGAATCAAAAAGCTATCCTCACTCTACCAGCGTTCCTTACCCTAGGACAGCATCTGTGTGAAACTCTTGACCCAGGAGGACCTAGGGCAGGGTTTGTGAAAGTCCCATTGCCAAGGTCAGAAATCACCTATCCTGTTACCACCCAAATGACTTTACAACGGGAGCTTGTTCCTAGACTGTTAGTCAGTATAGCTGTTAAGAGAATATTGCAGGGTAAAACAAATTTTCTGCATCCTCGTTACCTAGAGTATCAGATTGTAACCTTCCTGACATTGTCTGTCTTTATAATCACCAGCTGCTGCATCCTCCTCATGCATGCCCTAGATCCCTTGCTTTTTAGTGTGATAGAGTCAAAGCTTACCTCTGTAACTGTTGTGTTGTGTTTTTCTCCCTCCCACCTCCCTTTTATACTTCCTTTTAGGCCAGAATGGAATCTATGAATCGGTCCTACACTTCACTTATGCCCCCTCTGTCCCCGCAAACTAAGATCATCACCCCTTATACTGCCTCACAACCTTCACCCCCTCTGCCTCCTCCTCCACCCCCACCTCCTCCTCCTCCTCCGCCTCCACCACCACCACCCCCACCTCCTCCTCCTCTCCCTAGCCAGTCTGCACCTTCTGCAGGCTCATCAGCCACCATGTTTGTCAAGTACAGCACAATCACCAGGCTGCAAAACGCAGCTCAGCATTCAGGGTCCCTGTTTAAGTCTCCACCACCCCCAGCGATGCAACCTCCGCCTTTGGCTTCACAGTCCCTCAAGGCTCAAATTGTGGTGCCCCCCAATGGAGTTATTCCTCCACCCCCTCCTCCTCCACCACCCCCAACCCCTGGTTCAGCCATGGCCCAATTAAAGCCAGTGCCCTGTGCCCAGTCCCTGCCACAGTTCTCCCAACCCCCTCCACTGAAGATTCATCAAGTTCACCAAGTGGCACCTCCCACACCCCCACCAGCTCCTCCCATCCCTGCAGCTGTCCCTCCTCAAGCACCCCCTAAACCCCTGGTGACCATTCCTCTTTCAGCCAGCACCAGAACTGTACCATCAGTAGTGGCACAGGCTGTACCACTCACCCCTGCACCTCCAGTGCCCCCAGCAAAGAAACAGCCAGCTTTCCCCATTTCTCCCCCTGTTCAGACTGCTCCGTGTCCACCACCAACACTACCCAAGCAGCAGAGCTTTGGGGTGAAGCCACCCCCCTCTCCACTGTCCCCCATGCCCTCAGTCGTGAAGCAGATAGCCAGCCAGTTTCCACCCTCTCCCACTCCTCCTCCTGTGGACTCACAGCCCCTAAAACCCCTCCCAGCAAGTGTCACCCCACAGTCCCCTCCTGCCGTGAAAGCAAAACCCAAGTGGCAGCCCAGCTCAATCCCTGTCCCTTCCCCAGATTTCCCTCCTCCCCCTCCAGAGAGCAGCCTGGTGTTTCCTCCTCCACTTCCTCCAAGCCCAGCTCCACCCCCACCCCCACCCCCAGTGCCACCCGTGGCTTCGCCAATCCCTGACAAAGGTGGATCTCCAGGCAAAAAGCCGAGTAAGATGTCCAGCCCTGGGGGAAAGAAACCACCCCCAACCCCACAGCGCAACTCCAGCATTAAGTCCGCCGAGCACCCTGAGCCCAAGCGACCCTCGGTAGACAGTCTAGTCAGCAAGTTCGCACCGCCAGCAGAGTCGGGATCTCCCCACAAGGAGACCCCACCTCCTCCTGCAGCGCCTCCCAAACCTGGGAAACTACACCTTTCTGGAGTCCATCTCCCTGGAATCCACCAGCAAGGGAGTGTGTCAACGACGCCTTCCGTTCTGAGTGGACGTGGAAAGGACTCCGTACTGGAATTTCCATCTCCTCCGTCCGATTCTGACTTTCCACCCCCTCCACCTGAAATAGAGCTTCCTCTGCCCCCTATTGAGATTCCAGCCATATTCTCGGGAAGCACCTCCCCCAAAGTGGCCGTTGTTAATCCTCAGCCACAGCTATGGTCTAAAACGTCTGTGAAGAAGGCCCCGCCCACCCGGCCCAAACGAAATGATAGCACCCGCCTCACTCAAGCTGACGTCTCTGAGCAACCAGCGATGACCACAGTTGTGCCACAAGTGCCCACCTCTCCCAAATCCAGCCTTAGTGTCCAGCCTGGATTCCTAGCTGATCTTAACAGGACACTGCAGCGCAAGTCTATCACGCGGCATGGCTCCCTCTCCTCTTCACGAATGTCCAGAGCAGAACCCACAGCCACCATGGACGACATGGCACTACCCCCGCCGCCACCAGAACTGCTGTCTGACCAGCAGAAGGCTGGCTTTGGAGGCAGTCATATTTCAGGCTATGCAACCTTGCGAAGAGGACCCCCTCCCGCTCCCCCTAAAAGAGACCAGAATACTAAGCTCTCAAGAGACTGGTAGCCACAAGACTTAATATCTATAATAAGTTCTACAATCAGTTTACCTGATCATCTGTGAACCCAGGTGTTCAGAGCCTCCTGATATGTTATTCAGGTAGTGTCCAGCTGTATGTGTGTTGATTGTGTGTATATACGTATGTATACATCTGTGAATGTGTATATATGGAGAGAACTGATTCTATTTATTTCTTTTGCCTCCTAATCAGAAAAAAGGGTTTTGTATATTTTGAGTGGAAGGAGACATAGGAGGAGCTATGTTGTCACTTATAATTTGTTTATCATATGGATTGGACCAAAATCTAGAAGGTATTTCATAACTGTCTGCCCATGTGCCACTGTGCATGTGTTATAGAAGAAATAGATGAACAGTTTCTCAGTTTGAGGATATCACAAGAATATTTGCTATATCTGTAGGGCTTGTTTTTCCCAGTTGGCTGAGTTTAGAACTGCTTAACTGACACTTAAATTCTACATATAAAGGGGCACTTTAATTCAGGAAAGCCTTCCATAGACAGAACGGGTAAATGGCGCAGGAAGGGGAAATGCTGAAGACACTGTGGTTGTACACAGGAAAGTCATGGCTTCTAGTTGCAATAGTTGTGCCGTGACCCCGGCCACATCTTGAGATGTCTTCACAGGTAAGCTTTTTGCCTAGAACACAAGAAGTATCTAATGCTAGAATCCTAACTACTTTCAGTAGTTGCAAAGCTTCATCAGTTTGGTTTCAGGAGACTTACTTTTTTGTAGAATGTTCAGTACACACTGTAATGTACTGCCCCAATTATGTCTTTGGGTCATTTATTTACCTTTGCATATAGTATGTACATTACAGACATTTGAATTTGTGGACAGTAGAAATATGAAATATACTCCCTGTGCCCAATGTAGTACATTATTAAAAACAAAGTCAACTTCTGCAATGCCTTCTTTTACAAGTTGTTCTCCACGAGAGATAAAGAAGACAAGACAGTATCATTCATCATGTTTTAATGCAAAGAATCCATTTGGGATAGGACTATCATGATCAAAACGAGTTTTCACAATTTCATTCATAGCTACTGGAGCTGCTAAGATCTTTTCTGTTTAGCTTGAGTGTAGTAGGGCTTTTACAGGTGGCCAGGTGTTCTGATGGAGCAGCGCCATAGTCCACTTAAAGCAAGCACGTACTGACGGCTCTACTATGTTCACAGTGTTCTCTGCGCTTTTGGTACATGAGAAAAGTGTGCACTTACCAACTTAGAGTGATAGGTTGATGGGAAAGAAATGCAATCCTAGTTATTTTTAAGCAAGAGAATAAAAACTGTCCATCCCACTTCTTACAAATGAGGACATCTTGTAAAGAGTCTGTGCCTGCTGTAAAGATAGCCAGTGCCAGATGCAGAAATCTTTCGGTCCTGTCCCTCAAGCAGAAAGTAACGCTTATGAATCTGGATAAAGATAGTCAAGTAAAGTGTCAAGTTTCACTACCCTGATTTCCAGTAAGGCGCTGCATCATAAACATGTAGGGAAGAAGACGAAAAGTCATTGTACTTTTTAGAAAACCTGCTTAGATTTTTTTTTTTGATCTTTGAAATTGCTCACCAAGTATTTATGTGCTTACAATTCTTATGATTATGAAATGATCTTTAACATAACTGCAGTTAGTTTCAACATGTACAATGAATGTATTTAGTCTGAATACAGATGCCAAGCCACACTGAAGTACTTCCTCATGCTCATCAACCTGCAGATTCAATCTACAGAAAACCAAGAGTGCAGATCAGTTATCCCTGGGGTTTATCTCTAGGGTGTTTCTGTTTCCTTTTTAAATTTTTAAATTAAGCTAGCTAGGCAACTTAAGATTTCCTTGAGTGCAAAAATATGTACCTTCAATCTAGATTGAACCCTGAATCAACAACCTTCATTCTGTCAGTGTGGACTCCATGGGAACTCCCATGTCCTTCTAACTCATCATGTGACAGCATGCAGTTTCTTTATAGTTCTCCAGAGACAAGAATAGCTGTTAATTAAAAACAAAACAATAAACCAAAGTGCCACATTCCAATTTTTTTTTTCTCACTGCTTAGTGCTGACATGTAGTTTTCTTTCTTTTTCTCTGGTGTGTTCATGGACAAGACCTACTGCCAGCCAACACTAGTTCTGTGCCTTCTTCCACTGCCCGCAGCGCAGCAGCTCCAGCTCGCACAGCCTTTTCGGGCAGCGCAGGGCCTGTGGAGGCTGCCTGGACACTAACAGTCAACAGAGTGAAGGACCTTTGCTCCTGAGGGCAGACAGATAGGTGCTTTTCGGAATTGGTTTGGTGACATCCTCAATTCTTATTATATAGTAATTTCAAGTCTCTTAGTACTTAAAGTTTGGGCACCAACTCTGAAGCAGCCAAACCTATTCTCAATAAAATGACCTAACGATGATCCACAGGTGCCGGCATGAGTACACTTATATTAAGTCTCCCCAGCTTGGTATTTAGTCCCAAAAGATTTTAATATGCTTTCTCTCATCTTTTAGTCACTGTAATTCTCATTTGGAGGAAAAAAGGTCTGTTTCAGACATCTACTTAACTGTATTACACTTTTTCCCCAATGTCTAAACTTTTTTAACATAAGAAAGATGGCTGGATCTTAAAGATTATCAAAAAGATCCATTTTCATTAGACAGTGAAGAACGATATCAATGGGTTTCTGTTTTTGCTTTTTCTTAAGTATCCAAAATCAAGGTGCTCTTACCCACCGATGGTATATCTTGCAATGGGCTGAGAACTGTTTTGGGTCGCTTCCCTGTATTGTACTTTGATCAGTTAGAATTGAGAGGTCACAGTAATTCTAACAGGGTAACAACTCTAAGGTCTGGATCAACAGAATCCAGGGTTCAGGAGCTGGGCAGCAGTGTGAACCGGTTCCTCAGACTTCCAGCAGAACATGTTGTCACCCTTGCTACTCAAATAAAGCAGTTTTATGTTACAAACACAGGGCAGTGTTTAAGCAAATAAACCCATTCAAAGCATTTTCCATATCACCAAAACTAGCAATATAACTGATGCAATTCCAGATTTTACCCCAGTTTAGAACAATTAAAACAATGCCCTGTATTTTTGTTTATACATGAAGATGGCTTTCTTTAAAAAAAAAAAAAGGGTCCCTTTCAAATTACAAAAGCCTTTGAACCGTTAATTTTTTAATTTTAACTTTTTATTATCTGTTATATGTGACCTCTCTCAAAGTTGACCCAAAGGGAAATGCAAGGTGGGGGGGACCCCACCATCTTTCAAGATTGTCCTTTGAAAACCTAGTGAAAACATGTTACCCTTTAATACTCTACCATCAAAACTACAAGTGTGCAGTGCCCTTAGGGGTTTATATGTAAAAGACAACTAAAATTTAAGTGATATAATGTGTTGGAGGGCAGGGGGCTCTGGTTTGCTCTGACGTAAACCATCCTAGACAGCTATCTGCTATAATCCCCAGTGCCTTGAACTCTAGAGGAACCGCATGTAAAAACAACAAAAACAACCAAGTAAACTTTGAGGTGCTAATGAAAGAGGGGACAGGTAAGTATTTCTGAACTTTTGGCAGAAATGGAGGGGGATGACTGTCTTGTATTACAGGAGAAGTTTTCATCCACCTAAATGGAGTCTGTTTTCTACCAAAGATACTTAGAGAAGTGGCTCAGAAGTGGCTCAAGTCAACAGAGTTCTATTTAAGAGCTGGCCAAATTTGGGAGCTTGTTGTTCATAAGCTATGAATTTCAAGCAAGTGATTGTTAAAGCATCAACTTCTTAGGAAGCAAGTGATTGTTAAAGCATCAACTTCTTAGGAAGACAAGGGAAACAGGGAATACATTTTTAGAAACTATCCATTCGTTAAATTTGTTACAATTTAATACCAAAAATGCTGGTTTTCATATTCCACCTCCTAGTTTTTCCTGTATTTGTAAATAGTCCCCCTAGAAAGTAAGCATTAATTGGAATGTTTGAAATGACTGCTTAGTTTTAATATCAGCCACTTAGTGAACTCTTCCTCCAGAGCAGAGATAAATAAGGTAAAATATGATTAGCTTGTGCTAAGTGTTGTAAAAATACTGTTTGCTGTCTTCACTGGGTTGTTGTCTCCTTTCCCTGTTTTTTTTTTGTTTGTTTGTTTGTTTGTTTTTTCCCAAAAATGGAGTCCAGGCTCACTCTGACTTCTAGCTGTGGGAATTTTGTCATAATAGATACAATAGTATACTTTTTTAAGGCATGACGATAACAAATGTACCCGAAAGAGGTCATTATTCAGAAGATTATGCTCAATTTGGTGAAGATGAAGTTGTGGTTTTCTTTCAGCCTTTATTATTTTCTTCTGCATAAATGTACACTCATTTCATCATGTGCCTTGCTCCCTGACTGTGCAAAGCTGTACACATACACACACATATATACACATATATGAGAAAGAGATATATTCATTCAGTACTACTGATGATGATTTTTGTTCTACTGCTGGATTAAGTTTCTGGGTTATAACTTGCCACTTGTCATAAACTGTTGTAATGGCTTAGGACAGTGGTCAGATAGAGTAAATTTGTTTTTGTAGTTGCATATTTTATGTCATCAAGCCCAATCATTAATTTAAAAAAAATTAAATAGATTCCATTTAAACACAAGGATTTTGAGTGTTTTGGATGAATACCACTAAGAACCTGGTTTTATAGGGCTGGAGGGATGACTCAGCTGTTAAGAATGCTTTCTGCTCTTCCAGAGGACCAGAGTTCAGTTCCCAGCACCCACGTCGGGCAACTCAAAACCACCTCTAACTCCAGCTCCGAAGGATCCAATGTCCTCTTCTGGCCTCCAAAGGCACCTGAACACGCGTGGCATACATGCATAATAATAAAAGTAAATTCTTCAAAGAACCTGGTTTTAAAGCTTGTTGTGTCAGGATAAATTAAATATTGTAGGAGAATTAACTGCAGTTCAGAGTGTTTTGCTTCTTTACAAGCCATTAAATATTACTAATTAGGGAGTAATTAAGGGCTGAAGAATAAAGGTGTTTGCCAAGAGCCCTGACAATCGGAGTTCAAATCCCTGGAACTCAGGTGGGTAGAAAGAACCAGTTCACACAAGTTATCCTCTGCCTGTGTACACATATACAATAAATGTGTAAAAAATATATTTGTAAGATGGGCAGTGGTGGTGCACACCTTTAATCCCAGCACTCAGGAGGCAGAGGCAGGTGGATCTCATTGAGTTCAAGGCCAGCCTGGTCTACTGATGAGAGTTCCAGGACAGTCAGGGCTATACAGAAGAAAAATTTTGTCTTGAAACCACTCCCATCCCCACAAAATTGTGTGTGTGTGTGTGTGTGTGTGTGTGTGTGTGTGTATGAGAGAGAGAGAGAGAGAGCGCCTTTGAGTATATGAGCTAGAACTATAACTTAAGAATGTTGTGGGAGAGGGGGGGGGGGGGGGGGGGAGAGAGGGGGGGGGGGGGGGGGGGGGGGGGGGGGGGGGGGGAAAAGGGAGACGGGGAGGGAAATGGGAGGCGGGGAGGAGGCGGAAATTTTTTTTTAATAAAAAATTATATTTAAAAAAAAAGATAAGTTATTTCATGACTTGAATAGTTATAAACCAGAGCAATCCAAATTCTCAAACTATTAAAATCTTTGTAAAACTAAAAAAAAAAAAAAAAAAAGAATGTTGTGAACCAGCATGTGGGATTGCAAACCAAACCCAGGTTCTCTAAGTGCTGTTAACTGTTGAGCCATTCTCTAGCCCTTGATCATTTTATTTTGTATAGAGTAGAACTGGGTAAAAACTAATGCCAAAAAGGGCCCCCCTCCTCCACCCCAGCAATGACTTGGAAGTACAATTATGTACTGGGACTGCCATATCGTTACAGACTGCAAATCACCTGACTATTTATCATCACACTATAATAAAAGTTATTCATCATCTGTCAGTGCTACCAGTTGTGGACCCTTTTATTTATAGAGAAATCTTTTTCTTGAGAACACCCTTTGAAAATGCTTCAGTTGAGCTTTTCCCGACTATGGACTTCCCTGTAAGGCAGCAAGAGCTGGAGCAGGGCCCTCACTCTGGAGATTGCATTTACTACTTAGACAAATCACTAGAAAACTTCTGTAGTCAAATTATCATCTGGGATCTTAACCAACACTTAACCTCATTCCAATGATGGAAAAATTTACACTTGACAAAACTTAGGTATATTTGGAAAAAGCAGTTTATAATTAAAGTATTTCAGGCACCAAACTTATTAAAGGTTCGACACTATTCAAAGCCTTAAGTAAGTAACTGAATAGTACCATCAATGCTTAGAACCATGTTAGAAAGAAGTAGTGAATACATAAATAATTCTGCCAAGACACTGGGATATACTTCGTGTGATTTTTATTTGGGTCAAGTTCTTAGTACACAGCAGTAATTATTCCAAATACAATTTAAAAATTAAGTGACTGTCCCTCACTCTTCTGGAGGTGCTCAAAAGTGCACATAAGGAATGTTACTGGCAACACTTGCCACTCAAGTTGCCTGAATGGTTTTTACTCAGTACCACCAACTCTCTGGGAGCTATAAAGTGTTAACTGGCCAGATCATAAATTGTTTACATTCTTTTTGTAAACCATTTCATTAAGAAAAAAAGTACATGGACACAAAATATGATTAAAAACTGCTTTTCCATAGAATTCTGGACTTGCAAAAGAGGCTTCAGTTTAATGTGAAAATAAGCTTTTTGTCTTACAAAAAAATGTAACATTTATTAGCAAGGATCATTTACACAGCTATGCCCTGTCATTTCATTTGATTAGCAAGGATCATTTACACAGCTATGCCCTGTCATTTCATTTGATTTTTTTTTAAATAGAGATTTTCAATTTTAAAAAAAAAAAGCATAAAGTAAACTTAGATAGCAAGCTCAATGCCTCCACGCAGTGACTTTGTAAGGCTCTCTCCGCCCTGCTCCTGGCAGTGTAGAACTAGATATAATGCGTTCTTACTACACACAGCTGTATGGAAATGTGTCTACGAGTGAAGTTTTAGAAGGGTAAATGATTATTTCTACTCAGGCTGCACTTAAGCTTGAAGCAATGTGAATACTTGGGTGGTTATTTATCAAAACATGGCATATCTTTTCAAGTGTCATCCTAAAAACAGGAACTGTTGCTTTCTAAAGAAAAATAAAGCACATTTAATTACAACAGTTGGTACACTGGGAAGAAGACTGAGTTCTAAGAACTAAATAGCTGTTTATCTGAAACAAAGCATTGTTAAAGTGACTGGAACAAGCATTTTAAGGCTTATGAGTTCCAAAATTAACAGTGTTAGAGAAATGTCACCTCCACACCCATCAGTTCCTGGTCAAAACTATTCAGAAGTAAACAACTCCCACTCATTTCAAAGATTTAGCAATCATTTCTTCACCAAAGCCCTTTCTAGAAGTAAAGGTGGCCTTCAGGACACACCATGTTCTCTCCATAAGGAGAGAGGGTAATAAGGTAAAACAAGAGTTATGCTGCAGGAAGGTGTTCTTTAAAGAAAATGAAAAGTGAAAAATAAAAGTAAGCTATCGTTTTGATGCCCCATGCATAAGAATCATCATAAACTGTTAATGAGTCCTACTACACTGCAGATATCCACTGTGGAGATGCACACACCAGGCTCTAGCTGGGCAACACACAGCAGTAGTAAGGGTAAGGAAGATGCCACCCAGCGGCTTTCAGGAACAGCAAAATCAGCAGTCCTGTACCAATCCCAACATGGGAACAGCAGGTGCCTCTTAGGAAGAGAGAAGGAAGTAACCAAAAGGAAAATACTGTAGGAGACATCTTTAAAAATTCATATTTATTCCAAACACAGCAGGCTGAAATCTCTTGGATCTAGATTTCAGAACATTGGCACTATTTTTGTTTCTAATTTGCCTTGGCTATAAGGTCAAGCACAAGAATGTATTTTCACTCAGATCCACTGACCTTCAAATATTAATAGCAAAAAAGAGACAAATATCCAGTTTTTTTTAAGGGTAATCAGAAATCTCAAGGAAGACCAATGCCTTAAAAGCACCTGTGACCTGGAAAAGCAGTTGCTTACTGGTCAGCAAAGTTTCAACATTCATTTAAAATTTCTAATATCAACTGCATTTTAGTTTATGGGCAAATAAATGGGAAAATTTACAATAAAATAGGAGATAACCTCACAGTATTAATAGCATGCAATCTACAAAATATTACATACATTAAAAGTCTCCAATTACTGTAGGCCTGGTTCACTGTTACAGAGTTTATCCTTCCAAGACAATTTATAGAATTCAAAATTGTAAAAATTCAAAAGATGAAAAAAAATTCAACAGATCGCATTGTTTTGTTTTTGTAAAATCGCATCAGTACTCAGTAATACAACTGGAAGGAATCAGCTGACCTGTGGATTCCCCTAGTGCAAGTATCCAGAACAAAGTGTTCTCTGCAACCTTAACAGGTAAGCTGTATTCCTTGCCCACCACCAGCTCTTTCCTGGGTTTCCAAACATCATCTTGCGAATCCACTAAGCTTGCTCAGCAAATCGCTACTTAAATAAATAATTAGCGTAACTATTTCCAAAAGTTTCCACGTACCAATACAAGCAAAGTTAAACATGTTCATATATAGTCTTGCTGTGCCCATAATGGAGCTAAAGGTTCCAAGGACATCCAGGGACATTATCCTGAAGATAGTCAATATGACCTAACAAAAGCATCAAGTGGAAAGTATACTAGAAGCATGTTAAAGATGAATCCAGAGTGCTCAGAAACATCTAAAAGTATAATGGCTGAAGTATAATGTTTAAAAAAAGAAAAGAGAAAAAGGGTGATGCCTAATATTCTAATGATGCTCCTGCTTATAATCCTAGTTTTGGGAGGCTAAAGCAGGAGGAACAGCACGTCTGAAAACAAACAAAATCCTGCAATTTTAAAGCAAAAAAACAAGTCTTGGACAAGAAATTGGTTGAGTCTCAGTTACACAGCAAAGCTCAGATAACAGATCTTAGTGGAGTTAGCTTATGCCTCTACGACCTGCTTTTCTTCCCTTCTACAACACTTATTCATTTTTCAACCAAATTATCCTAGCATCACTATCCAGGACATTCAAGGCCTGCATCTTAATTAAACATAGTGATTATTTCCTCTTTTAAGCCTTCAGGTGAAATTACCTGGTCAGATTCTTTCGTCTTTTCATGGGACTGTTAAGAATCCATAGGGAAGCTTTGGATCTAACTACAAACTGGCCCGTCACCATGATATTCACCTACTGGGCAGCAACACCCCTAATCACAGATGTGATTGTTAAAGCCACCAGATGTGCAAACACCACTAAATATAAATTAATCATAGGTGAGGGAGTTGCCCATTATCTCAGAATCATACTGACTCTCATCAGAGTGACTGGGTTAAGTATTTTGTCTTTTACACTACACTCGAGTCTGAATCACGAGGTGCAGATCTTCCTAGGATTGTCTACTTTAGAGTCCAATCTGTTCTAGAGCTGAGAGAATAAAAATGACTGCACATCAGCTAACACCGCCACCGAAAGCAATCCAAGGGCACAGTAGCACCTGTCATTCCCAATCCAGTGACTGTCAAGAGACCGGACACCAAGTCTCTTCTAAAAAGGAGAAAAGCAATGTTTTTAAATACCAAAAGGGCAGGAATAACTGGTCTGACTTCCTGACCTAAGTCCTTCGTGAAGGAGCACTTAGGGTCAAAGGCTGGAGCTCTTCCCTTCAGAGCCTTAGGTAGCTTTGTGTCCAGTTTCACATATCTACCTCAGTACAAGTATGGATCACATTTCCTATCAGGTTCAGCGGCTGTTATCAGCAATGCAGCCTCATGCAACTGTACATTAAAATCAAACTGTGGGGACTGTTTGGAGACTCACATTTTGTCATCCTTATAATCTACAAACAGGACAGGATGCAAGGGAGTTTAGTGTTAACTCACCTAGCACACTCCAGTGCTAAGAGAACACAGGATGTACACTGTTAAAAACAGCCTTTGAAACAATCAAAAAGTAGTTAAATATGGTATCTAAACACTAATTCCTTCCTCTTCGCATGAAAGGAAGTAAGGGGCACGGGTGTCCACTGGGCCATGAGACTAACCCCAAGGCAGAGGCAATGAATATCCAATGTCACAGATTCTGCAGGAAGAGAAATCCAAGGGTGTACAGTATTCCTGAGAAAGAGCCAGACTTTTCTCAAGCCAGTCTTGGTCTGATTTGTTTTAGCTCTACGTTCATGTTGTTATGCCTTCCATAGAATGAGAAATGGTCACATTTTCAATCCAGACAGTGTCGTGCAAATAACAGCAAGAAGATCCATTTGTTCAGACTCAAATTTGATTTTTTTGTTTTTAATACTAGGGGATGAACCAAAACATAGAAAAAAAGAAATAACTTCATCATTTGTATGTTTCATTTGTTTCACTGGGAGGAAATTCCCAGGGCCTCTAGCTCATCTGGGAAGACCTGACTCTGAGAGGACGCACAGCTGTGCTGAGCTTCACTCTGAGTAATGCATGATGGACTCAACGTAATTCCCAGGGAAGAGCCCAGTCACTCCATTCATAACGCCCTCATACCAGCCATCGTCGTTCTTCTTGATGACATAGATAATGGCTCCTTCCTGAAAGGACAGCTCATCTTCCTTGTCTTTTGTGTAATCATAAATTGCCACAACTAGGGGAAAACAAAATAGGGTATGAATGAGAATACCAGTCCTAGAAAGACAAAGCCAAACAAGCACTCATACATAGCAACTTTCTAAACATTACTAAAAAACATGAATATAAATTTTAATCAGTTCAATACAATCAAACATCCTTTTTTAGAAAAAGGTTCTAAATCTAGTATAAATGGCAAACAAACAAAAATGTTTAGTTAAACTTACCCTTCAATAAAAAAAAAATCAACTACAGAGAAGAAATCGAAGGATCATGAAAGATAGCTATTCACTTAAACGTATACTAAGGCACCATATTGTGTAAAAACAAATGTTTATATTTAAATATTACACTACTGTTTTGAGATATATTATCAGTCAACTGAGAAATGAGACAGGCTAAAGGCCTGTTGGTGAATGGGGACTGAATTCCTACAACTTAAGTCTACTATACATACACTTTTTTCCCTCCCCCTGCCCCTCCCGCCCTACATACACTTTTTCTTTCAAAACATATACTGCATTGTATCTCCAATGTAGTACATCCACAACATTGTATCTCCAATTTAGTACATCCATAATAACAGAATGAAGAAAGCCAGGACACCTGTGCGTTCCTCTATGATTTTTATGGGTTAAATCACTTGGCAATGGGCTTTTGAACCTTCCTCTCTCAGATAATCTCTAGTTCCTAATATTACATCTACCCTCAAGAATTTTGATAAAATGGGATATTTTATAACTTAACTCACATTCACTTAAGACAGTCTTTGTTCCAACACCCTGATTTTCTGCATATCACAAAGAATTTTTTTTTTCAAAAAAAAATCTTCATTTGGGTTAGCAAGATGGTTGGTGGGTAAAGGCACTACCACCAAGCCTGAAGACCCAGTTCAATTCCTGGACCCACATATCAGAAGATGGACTCCCACACACTGTCTTTGACCTCTACCATGGCACTCACACATGTGTGCATAATATGTACATACCCACACATATAAATACATGTATTTTTTAAAACTTAATATCTCCAGCTGTTTTTCTAAGCATATACTGTAACTTGTCTTAAAACGTGAGAGCTGGGATGTATCCCAGTAACAGAGCCCTGGGCCCTGTGTTTCTGGACCGTTTGTGTAAAAAATCTATTCACTTCCCTCATACATAATTATCTTCTATTATTGGGGTACATTGAGGACATCAGAAAATACTTTTACAGAGGCCTAACTTAGAAGAGTCAATATTGTGTTTCTCAAAATATCACTAAATGTCTAAAAACAATTCAGTGTAAATTATATGTCAAGTTTAGGTATAAGAAATTTAGACCTAAAGTGTTTAGTATTGCCAGCCAATCAATATTTTCTAGTTTGTTTTTTTTTTTAAGAAAAGGTAACATTCTTGGTACTTAGAAAAATGGACCCAATAAAAAGTAATCCAGAAGATAATTATCTTTATACTTTGTAGCAACAGAGTAAATTAGTACACAAAGTTATTGCACTCAATGTATGCGTTCTTTAAGATATAGAAACTGGAAGTTATGGATGTAGGTTGGTGGTAAAAGACCCAAGGTTCAGTGTACAGAGGAAAGGAGGGAGGGGGAGGGGAAGGGAGGAAGGAAGGGAGGGAGGAAGGAAGGGGGAAAGGGGAAAGGGGAAAGGGGAAAGGGGAAAGGAAAGGAAAAGGGTGCAGGCCCATATTTCTGTATGGCACAAAAGCCATAGGCCCCATCTGAGGAGGTCTGAGGAGGTCTGAGGTGGTCACGTAGCTCTGCAGACAGCTGTCTCTGCTAACAACAGCCAGGATGTGCTCCTCCTCTGTTAGAAATGTAGATCACCTGGGGAGAGGTGTTGGCTGAAGCAGGTCAGGATGTTTGGTGCTTCTTTCTTTTGTAATTTGGAGGATGTCTTATAGAGATGCTAATTCAGGCATACGTGACAGCTAGCATACAGATGCGGACATGACAGAAAGCCATTCACCTGGTTACCTAATAGCCTAATGTATTTTCCCGCTCAATTGAGGTGATGGTATATAAACTGTTTGGATAACAAACATGGGAGTTCTTCAGGAGATCATCAGGAGAAAAGACCCTGAGATGCCCTTCCATGATGACCCTGTAAACTGTGTCTGATTATTCCTCACGACTCCATACCAGTTCAGTTAGGGGAAATAATTATCGGCCTCCAACAAAAAGGAAAGGAAAGAAAAGGGAAGGAAAAAGGAAAGGGGAGGAGAGGAGGGGAGAGGAGGGAGGAGAGGGGAGGGGAGGGGGAGTAGGAGGAGGAGTAGGAAGAGGAAGGGGAAGAGGAAGAAGAGGGGAGGGAAGGGAATTGCCTCAGAAAAAGTTAATAGCAAATATGAGTCCATGGACTCTGGTTGTAGCAGCACAGGAGACCCTGTTTTTTTTAAGGGTCAAAATTAGTAATCAACTAAAATTTTTAATTCTCCCAAACAATGCTGTTTAAAATTACCAATTTTCATTCCAGGGAAACATAGACATATATAAAACATGTATGTTAGACATCTGGCTATTTCTGTGTAGTTGTAAGCAAGAAACTAATGGTGCTTGTTATTTTCTCTCAATTGTTGTAGCACTAACATGAAAACACTGTAAATTCTAAGGACAGCACCCCAGTGGAGTGTAATATAAGAAACACTTTAGCAAAGCAAAACGAAACATTTCATTTTAAATTTAATATGAACAGTGTTAAAGACCAGAAAGGGAAAGAAAACAGGAGGAGTAAGGAGAATTCCGGAGGGAAGAAGGTGGGACAAAGAGATGGTTCAACTATTTTCTCTCATAAAGATAACAAACATCACATACTGAAAACTAGAGATATTGCTCACACATCTGTTCCCAATACAACACAAGGACTAGACATCTAAAACAGATTTATATTCAGCCAGTAATAAGTATAACAAATATACATTTGAAGGTAAGTGAGAATGATCTGGAGAAGTATTGATAAAGGCAACAAAGACACTGTAAAATGTCAGCAATTGAGAAGCCACTGAAAAAAATCAGAAGGTAGCCAAGTTACCCATCTCCGTATATTTTTGTATTATTTTGTTGTGGACTGAGGTGATTTTACTTACATGGAGAGTGACGGCTTGTCATAAGGCAGTAAAACCCTATCCAAGATATTTTGGAACTGATGTACAATCTGCCCTGAGGTAACCAAAGTTGACTTTGTCATTATCACTAATAAATTTAACTTCTTAACAATGCAATCTCAGTTAAAACAAATTTCAGAATTTACTGTGGATGGTGCTACTATGAAAACAATACCACTTTGTTAATGACGCTATGTTTCTTCTGCCCTCACAAGGCTAATGAAACTTCATACAAAAGTAACTAATAAACCTCCTGGTCCTTTTGAGATCCCCAGTCCTCTCATCCCGTACTGCTTGGCAATGATTACCTAGGCTCCCCCTCTTGACACCTCTCTCCAGTTTCTACCAACAGTGTCTTCTATTTCTCTTGAGTTTCACTGAATTTCTACACAAGCCAGGAAACCAGGAGTTTGTTTTGCCTTCCCCTAATACTTTCCCTATAAAATTCTACTCCATGAATCTCTGAAACAGAAGCACTTCTTGTTGTAGGAATTCCTGCCCCATGGTTCTTATCCGGTCATGTATCCCCAGAGAAGACCATACCCATTGGACCACGCCACCCCAATACAACTGGCTATGGACCAAATTCCCACAGCACTTCCTCATGACCATGGTCACCGTCCTTACCAGCCTTTCAACAGTACCTGGAAGCAGTGTGAGCACTGACTTCTAGACTCTTCTTGACTTTCAACTCTTATGCACATTACTTCCTGATGATATTATGGTCAACCATCAATCAAGTAATGGCTCTTGGTTCCCTTGTACCTTTCCACTTAAAAAGTACAAAACAGGGCTGGAGAGATGGCTCAGAGGTTAAGAGCATTGCCTGCTCTTCCAAAGGTCCTGAGTTCAATTCCCAGCAACCACATGGGGTTCTGTAATGGGGTCTGGTGCCCTGTTCTGGCCTTCAGGCATACACACAGACAGCATATTGTATACATAATAAATAAATATTAAAAAAAAAAGTACAAAACAATCTGGATGGCAGGGAAAAAGACATTCAAAAACAACTGACCTTTACTAAGCCAATCTTTCCGAAAGTCAAATTGCTCTCGTCTATCTTTCTGCAGGCCTTAAAATAAAGATATCAGCTAACACATCCTAAAAAAAAAATGCTTTTAAAAACAGTATTATTTGGTTTGTAACAGGTAACTCTGAAAGCTCTGAAATATCTGAGAAACAATGCTCTTTGTTTTGTTGGCCTTTCTCAGTCCTACATTCACCACAGGGAATGCTAGTAAACAGAGCTCAGAAGCTGGCAAACCACAAAGCGTAGGACGGTGGGAGAGGGTAAGCGACACAGTTCAAATCTCAACTCTCACTTCCGACCTTACAAGCCTACTTAATTTTTACTAAGCTTTTTTTTTTTTTTACTACTTTGTGGGAATTACAATAGTTCTCACATTTGTTACCTGAAAGTACTGTCACATTAAATGTGGTGATTCATACACACAAAAATAAATCATTATTAGTTTATTAATAAGTTTTGTGCTGTGACGGGCACAAAAAGAACACATAAAAATACCTGTCAGTCTGGGTATTAAGGTATTTAATCCAGTACTTGGGAGGCAGAAGCAGGTAGATCTCAGAGTTCAAGGTCAATCTGGTCTATACAGTGAGATCCTGCCTCAAACAAAACAAAAATTTGCCTCTACCCAAGTTAAGTCAGAATATACAATCCCTTCTTGATAACTACACTAATAAACAAGGAACTAAAATGAAACTTATGCTATGGTTGTGGTGGCCACAGCCTTAGGACCACACAGGGAACTGCAACAAACTGTCTTGGTTGTTTTGTGAAGAGAAAATTCTAGTGGGTTTTTATTTGTTTGTTTTTGTTTGGGGGGGGGGGATTGTCTGTTTTTGTTTTACAGAATCTTGCTGTGTTGCCAAGGCTAGTCCTGAACCC